CTCTCTCTCTGTGTGTGTGTGTGTGTGGTGTGTTGTGTGTGTGTGATCTGTCTGTCTGCTTGTGTGTTTACATGTGTGTGTTTAAGAATGTCTCTGAATTTGTATTATCTAGAGTTTTCTCATGATTTGATTTGCATGTTTTTTAAAGATTTTTTTAATTGCATGTTTTTCTTAAATTTATTTGTCTTTATTTTATGTGCATTGGTGTTTTGCCATGGATGTCCAGTCCCCTGAACTGGAATTACAGATAGTTGTGAGCTGCCATGTGGGTACTGGGAATTGAACCCAGGTCCTCTGGAAGAGCAGTCAATGCTCTTAACCACTGAGCCATCTCCCCAGCCCCAGCATCATGTTTTTTTTTTTTTTTTGCTTGTTTGTTTATTTTTATCAAGAATACTATGTGACTGATGTGGAATTCTTTCCAGGGTATCAAATTCAAAGAGTCGGTTTATTTGAGTATTTGTGAGATTAACTTCTATCATAGGGTTCAAGTGGGGCTTTTCAGGCTGTTTGACCCTATTTATCCCTTTATAGTTATTTGTTTATGGGAAGATGGTTTACGATTTTAAAAATATCTCTATCTTCATCAGACCCCTTTTTCTAGTTTCAAATTTTTATTTACATTTATTTATTTGGGTGACGGGGTACACACCACAGTAGATACCTGTGGAAGTCAGAGGACAGCTTATGAGGGTGTTTGTTCTCTCCCTCTACCATGTGAGTTGTAAGGACTGAACTTTCCAGCCCTTTTTATTTTTTCATTAGCATATAATACACATACATACATACATGCATACATGCATACATGCATACATACATACATACATACATACATACATACATACATATAAATTGGTTTTCATTAGCATGTTTTCATATGTGTGTGTAATGTTTTTCATTTCTCCTTCATCCACAACCCTTTCTTGTCCCACTTTCATTCCTGAGAGTACAAGAGTGCAATCCAATCACCTTAGTTGTCTGGAAGAAAGCATTCTGCAGTACTTCAGTTCTTATTTCTTACATTCTTTCTGTCCCTTTTTCTACAGTTTTCCCTGAACCTTGAAGGGGTAATACAGATGTACTATTTAGGGCTCAGCTTTCAGTAGTCAGTTACTGTCAGCACTTTTACCAGTTATGAGTCTTTTTAGTAACTACCACCCACTGCAAAAAACAAGCCTGTCTGACTGAATCTGACTACAGCAATGATTTGTGGGTATAAACAGAAATATTTAGAAGGCAATTTGACAGGATATCATGTCCAGTTAGCAAAACAACAGCAGTAGCTTCCCCACTATGTGACTTCCCCAGCCATGGGCTTTTGACCAGGTTTCCAATACCAAATGTGATTTCCTTGTGGTGTGGCGCTCAAATCCAATCAGACAGCTGTTGGTTACACCCCATAATAGGCATGCCGCTCTTCCACCAGTTTCGATATTTTTCATAGCCATTCATCAGTGTGGCATGCAGGTTCAAACTGAAGGATAGTCTACAAAGTAAGACTGTTAATGACAGTTCTCTCCCAGAAGCTGCATAGTTCCTCACAGCTCTGTGAAAGAGCCAGCACAAAGGGAACTTCCAGTTCAATTACACCTTGATTTCCCTACCAGAGAATGTGGCATCTTCAGCTGCGCGCCTGTAATTCCAGTGTTTGGTATTGAAGACAGGATCTGTGGGGCAAGCTGCCTAGCTAGACTAGCCAAATCTTCAAGTTCTAGCTTCAGTTTGAAATCTTGACTCAATGTAAGGAATATCAATGACATTGACATTGGATTCTCACACTTACACCCACATGTGTACCCACATAGGTGAACATGCATACAGATGCATGGCACATTCATATAATTATAATTTCAACTATTATTGTGATGATATATTTATTGGCAAGTTCTCCCACCTTAATTCATGATCTAATTTACAAACATACATTGCCTTTGTCTTAGCTCTTATGTTTCCTTTAATCTAGACTAGATCCTCAAGCCTTCACTTTTCATTGCTTTGATCTCTCTGAAGTGTGAATGCTTATGCTTATTATTGTGTAGAATATACTTTAGTTTGATTCTGTCTGAATTCCCCTCCTCTTTAGTTCAAGTTATAATTTTTTTGGTCAGGAATACCATGTAAGTGTGGCTGGGTTGTTCTTTCTACATCATGTTGTCTCAACATCAGAGGATTAAATTTGATTATGTGGCTAAAATAGGACTTTCTACAATCTTGCCATTGTAAAGTTATCACGTTTGCCCTTGTAACTAAAAAGCAATCTGTAAGGACACATTTTTGAAACTTTGTAATTACATTGTTCTTCATCTAACTTTTGCTACTTTTAGCATCCATTATGATTTTCCACATTCCTTCTTATATTCATTAATTACCTTTTTACATTTAGAATTGCCTTTTCCTTATTTTTTGAGACGGAGTTTCTCTGTGTAACTTTGGAGCCTTTCTGGAATTCGCTCTGTAGAAAAGACTAACTTTGAACTCACAGAGATCTGCCTGAGCTCCTGAGCTCTGTGATTAAAGGTGTGTGCCACCACCACTTGACTTTGTTTGTCTATATCAGTGTGAACTCACTTATTTTATTGAATAGACTATATTCTTATTACTTATTTTGACACCAAATTGTTCAAGATTTGGCATCGGTGGTCCTTTGATTTATTTTTATGATACGACCTGATCACTCTTTGAGTTCTTTTCTTTTTGCCACAGTAAAGTTTCTCTTGGAAGTCTAGTGTTGGAAGTAGCAATTTCTCCAAAGTATCTCCAACCTTCGTAACTTATAATAAAAAACTAACATATGAGCAATTTTACTGGTTTGTTTCTGGAACCCACTGTTAAAGAGCCTTGTATATAAACATTTTATATGTATGTATGTATGTAGTATCTATGTAGTATAGATGTATATTTTGTGTATATTTTCTATAGAAAATTTGTTCAAATATGTTATAAATGGACAGAACCAAAGAGGGATTGGAAATAGGGTGGGGAAGTAGAGGAATGTAAGTGGAGTCATAGTGTATGGAAGAACTCAACTCATGGAAAGGAGCGCCAGTCTAGTGTGGCTTAAAGAAGAGATGCGAAACTAGAGAGCCAGGAACGGACCAGTTCACTGAGGAATTTATTTGCCCTCTGAAGGAACTCAATCTTTTAGAACATGAGGAGTCATCATAGAAAGTTTGATTGGGTAAGGAATAATTATTTTTGTTAGATTTACATTTTCATATTCTTTTCTGTTGCTAGTGGCAATTCATAAAGGATAGATTACATAAATGTTTAGAATTATTGTTTCAGTGGGATTGGTATTTGCCTTCTTTAAATAAAGGACATTTGATTCATTGATTTATTCTCTTGTGGAACTGCAGTAACTCAGGATTCATCTGTTCTCTGTGATAGATAACACAAACAAGAATTAAAACAGTGTTAAGTTGTATTTTTATTCATTTATTATTTTTTAAAACAGGATCTCATTGTGTAGCTCTGGCTGGCCTGAAACTCACTTTATACACCAGGCTTGTCTCCAACTCAGAGAGATCCACCTTCGGAGTGCTGAGATTAAAGAACTGTACCACCACGTCTACCAAAACACTTTTAACTTTTAATGAAAATAACTTACGTAAGAAATAATTGATCTACTGTTAGTAATAGGGTTGATATAGGCATTGGATAATAAAGACATCCTACCTGGTTTACAAAGTTAAAGAAATGAAATGTAACAATGATATTTTTTGAAATATCAATATGTATCTTAGCATGAACTTGGCTGTTATCATAATATGTTATCATAATAGATGTTATTACTGCACTCTTTACAGCCTTCCCAACCAGTTGGAGCTGAACAACAAGCAGCTCTTCAAAATCCAGATTTTGTTCGAGGGTAAGTATCATTATCTTTGTCCCTAGAAATCTGTAGTGGCACGCTAACACATGTCATTGTATGTTTAAAGTCCCTTGAATAGAGTGATCTTTTATTCTTGTATTCATGTAATCTTAATAAAATTAAGATAAATTTTATTCCTTAAATGTTTATAGTAATTGCCAGGTAGTAGTGGCACATGCCTTTAATCCCAGCACTTGGGATGCAGAGGCAAGTGGACCTCTCTGAGTTCAAGGCCAGCCTGGTCTACAGAGCGAGTTCCAGGACAGCCAGGACTATTACACAAAGAAACCCTGTCTCAAAAAATGAAAAAAAAATCATAGTAATCATATAGATTGAGAAATTATTGACCACATTTTATTTATATAATTCTACTCTACAAAGTAAATAAAAATTATGTGAAGTAGAATTTTAGCTTATCTCACAAAATAAATTATAACAAGATAAGTTATTGTATTATTGGTAGTTTTAAAATAGTTTTTATATGTTATTCAGATTGGGTAATTTCGATTATGTTTTCAAACTTATTGATTCTTTTCTGTGTTCTGTTTATTATACCATTTTTTCCTATTCAGTGAAGTTTTATTTCTGTGATTCTATGTTTAGTCCTATAATTTCCAGTTAGTTCTTTTTAATCTTCTATTTCTCATTGACTTTATTTTTCTCATTTGCTTCAAATGCAATTGCAATTGCCTGTTGAAGTTTGTTTTGTTTTGTTTTTGTTCTTTTTATTCCTGGGGACGGAGCCCAGGGTCTTTGCATATGCTAGGTGAGCAATGTACCATGCAGTCCTTTGCTGAAGTTGGCTTCCCTTTCCATTCTTTTTATTTCTTTCTCCTTTGTGTTGGGGACCAAATCCAGGGCTTTGTGCATACTGGACAAGTTGTCTATCATCAAGCTGCTGTTTGTTTGTTTGTTTGTTTGTTTGTTTGTGTTTTTCAAGTCTTTAGAGTTCTTAGCCAGTCTTACTTTGTTTTTTTCAGTCTTGGTTGCCCTCCTGTGATTGTCTAGTTTATATTTCCAGAATTTTTAAAGTTGTATTTAGGAAAAATGAGCAAGAAAAATTGAGTTTCTGTCATCTTGTTCCAAAAGCTAATTATTAGATTTATTTTATTATGCTTATGAGTGTTGTGTATCTATGTATTTGCACCACATGTGTGCCTGGTGCCTATAGGGGTCAGAAGAAGGCACTGAATCCTTTGGAACTAGTATTAAAGACAGTTGTGAACTGTGGCTTCTTATGGGGGTGCTAGGAATTGAACCCCAGGCCCTCTGCAAGAGTAGTGTATGTTTTTTTTTTTTTAATCACTGAACCATCTCTCTAGTGTTAAGTTAGTATTTTAAGGAAATCTTTGAATCTGTAAAGTATTATTTCATAAGATAAATTGGGAGGGTTGCTAGGGATGGAACCCAGAACTTATATATGCTCCACAAGCACTGTACCTCTGAGTTACATCCTTAGCCCCTATGTGCATAAGTGTGTAATCTACTATTTGTACTTAGATTATTCTTTTACATGAAGACATATAAATAATTTAGTTTTTATTTTTATCATCTTTTTGTAATCTCTACAGAGATGGTTCATGAGAAGTTTTTAGAAGGACTCACCAAAAAATAATTTAAGATACATTTGGGGGGTAAAGGTCTGTTGGTACTTACTAATTTCAAATGTATTTGTTAGAATTTTTTATTTAGTAATTCTCTTCAAGTTTATTAAAGAAAAGACTAAAATATACTTTATTCACCTACAAAAGCTTACCCTTTCATATTTTTCCATTTGTTTCTTTTATTTCTGAGATTACAATATAGTTATATCATTTCTCCCTTCCCTTTCCTCTCACCAAACCTTCTCATATACCCCTCCTTGCTCTCTTTCAAATCTGTGGCCTCTTTTTTAAAGGTAAGCATTTGGTATTGGATATCCAGTTCAAATGCTCTTCCCTGGGGACTATTTCTCCCACTCTCAGCATTCCTTAGTTCTTTGACTGGGGTTGCCACATCCTTAGTGTCTGTTATCCAGTTCCCACCCCACCCTCCACCTCAGTACATCTTGGCATGTCTATTGTTGTTGTCCTTGTTCAGCTCATGTTTAGGCAGTCATGTTGGTGGATTTTATGTGTGTTTTCTTCTGACATTATTAGGAGACACAATTTCCCATCAAACTCCATGATCCTCTGGGTCTTACAATCTTTTCTTCCCCTAATCTACGGTGTTCCCTGAGCTGTAGGTGTGGGAGTGTTCTGTAGATGTAGTAATTCAGACTGGGTTCCACAACTTTGTATTTTAATTAGTTGTGGTTTTTCTATAGTAAGTTCTGCCTGTTTCAAAGAGAAGTTTCCTTGATGAGGAGCAAAGACTATACTCATCCATGAGTTTAAGGACAAATGTCTACGATTGCTGTTAGTGATTATGCTGGTTTAGTAAATTGGTGGTTATAGTTTCTCTTCTAAGATCCATGACATCATTAGTACTCTCTTTTATATTTTTTTCTGATTTGAAATTATAAAATAGCTATAACTAGTCACAATTAATCATGTTGAACCACTTTTTTTTTTTTTTTTGGTTTTTCGAGACAGGGTTTCTCTGTGTAGCTTTGTAGCCTATCCTGGCACTCGCTCTGGAGACCAGGCTGGCCTCGAACTCACAGAGATCCTCCTGCCTCTGCCTCCCGAGTGCTGGGATTAAAGGCATGCGCCACCAACACCTGGCTTGTTGAACCACTTTTATATCATTCATTTTCATTGCTTGTTTTTACCCCCTGCATTACTCCTATCTCCTACACTTACTCTGCTTATCCTTTGTTGAGATCTAAACCCTCTTTGGAGTAAGAATGTGTATTCATTTTAGAAAAATTGATCAAGAGTATCTCCTAGCCAGGTGGTGGTGGCCCACGCCTTTAATTCCAGCACTCGGAAGGCAGAGGCAGGTGGATCTCTGTGAGTTCGAGGCCAGCCTGGTCTCCAGAGCGAGTGCCAGGACAGCCTCCAAAGCCACAGAGAAACCCTGTCTCAAAAAAATATCCCCTAAATAAAAAAAAGAACACCCCTTAATAAAAGGTTTCATAATGGCCTATGACTGCCAGTGTCTTTCTTTTATTCTTACTCCTGTGATAAAAATGTGTGACATGTATATATGATATCTCACTTTTTATAACTTTCAAAAACAGCTTCACCCCATTAATCTTGTATAATTCAGTGGTATTAACTATATTCAGAGTTATACAATCATAACTTTTATATTGGTTGATTTTCCTTAAACTTACAATTTTATGATCTTTAGATTTTTATGATCAGGATTGGAATGAGTTACCTTTTTTTAAATCACTAGCTTGAATCAAGATATGACGGCTATAAAAGAAAACACCAATAACCCTGATAACCCAAGTGGAAATGGCAAACAGGATCGGATCAAACAGAGAAGAGCCTCCTGTCCTCGGCCAGAGAAGGGGACTAAATTTCAACTTATTGTCCTTCAGGTCAGTGTGTATGTATGGTTGTATTACAGTTTGTGAAGAAGTCTTGGAGACTCAGGGAGGAGTGCTGTGTAAGTCAATGCAGAATGTTGTGAATCCTTCTGTAAACTAACCTCTCCTTCATTCAAAATTTCTGATGAGAATATTACATTGTAGTTAATTAAACTTGTAGATTGTAGGATAAATAAAAGGATGAACATAAAATCCCTATAATCATGAATCAGAACTTATCCCTTCTTTTTAGTTTGTTTTCATTTTTTTTCTATGTGTATGTGCAATGTTTCACATTTTAGCATTGTAATAGAGTGAGTAATATTAGCAAAATATTAATATTAGCAAAATATATTGAATTATTTGTGGTGGGTGTCCCAAATATTATGTGCTTATTTTCATCATGACCTTCCAAAAGGCCTATATGATGAAGAGTATACCCATCTTTACAAATACAGATGCTCATACCAGAGAAGTAATTTGCCTAAAATCATTCAGGCACCAAATGCTAGAGTCAGATCTGAAGTGAGATCAAAATTTAAAGCCAGTATCTCTTACCAATATGATATGTTTCGGATGGATTTATAGAACTTGTACAGTTTTATATTCTTTCTTTTTGAAAGTTTAATATATTATGTACATGTTTCTGATACCAGTAAATAATTTTAATAATATATTTTAAATATGTGCAATATAGTCCCTTGTACAGAGATATAATTTAATCATCCTTTTTCCCATTCTTCCTTTAGGTTCGTTCTGTAACTGTTGCTGAATATGTTGTATGTGAGCTCATCTAGTTACTCCCTGTAAAATGTTGTGTTTTTTTCATTTTTATTGTTTTTAGACAGTCTGATAATAGCCTAGACGTGCTTCAGACTTAAAATATAGTCAAAGACAACCTTGAATTTCTGATCCTCCTGCCTTTACTTCCCAAGTACTGAGATTAGAGATGTAAACCACCATGATTAGTTTATATGGTGCTGGGGATGGAATTCAGGGCTTCGTGCATGCTAGGCAAGCACTCTACCAACTGTTTTCCATCCCCAGCCAAGACAGCTTCTGTTAAACTGGTTAAATGTTTGTACTTAGGTATCAGTCTCTGGAGACAACATGGTGGAGTGTCAGCTGGAAACACACAACAACAAGATGGTCACTTTCAAGTTTGATGTTGATGGAGATGCACCTGAGGATATTGCAGACTATATGGTAAGTATAGTAAGACAGAATTATTTTTCCCTTATTGTATTCATTCTCTCTCCTTTTTCTCCTTTCTCTCACCCACTTGCTTTTTCCCTCTCTGTTTTCTCTCCATTCATTCATTTATGTCCATCTCTTGATACAATGGTGTAGTTTTTTTTTAATTTGCTCAGAGAAAACATGATTATCAGGGATAAGTTACTGCATTTCCTCTTGTTTTACTGTAATTATTTGAGAAAAGATGAGGTTTTGGGGGATTTTTGATTGTTTTTTAGATCAGTGTTTTAATCTCTGGCTGTATATTAAAATAATATTATAAGCTTTCAATGATAATCTCATTGCATAGGCCCCTGATTAAATCAGAATCAAGCCACCTAGGTAATTTTAATGTATCTAACATTCAGCACAAAAGTATTCAAGTTATGTTTTTCAGTACATTTAGTTTTTTCTTTAATGTGTGAGTGTGTTGTTGTGTGTGGTATATGTACATGTTTGTGTGGGTATCGGCGTGAAGTATAGAGGACACTGGGTCGCCTCCTCAACCACTCTCTACTTTATTTCTTTATGATATGTGTGAGTGTGGTGTTTGCATGTGTTATGTATGTGCAATTGTGTATTCTGGTACATGCATTCATACCCACACCTGTAGGGGCTGGTAGAGGACTAGCCTCGTTTGTCATTCCCTGACTTACTCTTTTTAGACAGTCTCTTCCTAATTCAGATGCTTGTGTTCAGGTTGACTGGCATCAAGCAAGCCCCAGAAATCTTCCTGTCTACCCACATTACTGGGGTTACAGGCTTATGTGAGGTCATACCATGTTCATTATATGGACACTGGGATCTGAACTCAGGTTCTCATGGTTGCTTAACAAGCACTCTTTTTTTTTTCTTTTCTTTTGTTGTTTTGGTTTTTCGAGATATGGTTTCTCTGTGTAGCCTTGGCTGTCCTGGAACTAGCTCTGTAGATCAGGCTGGCCTTCAACTCACAGAGATGTGCCTACCTCTGCCTCTGCTGTGCACCACCCTGCCCGGCATTAGCAAGCACTTTTAACCACTGAGCAATCTACCTTATTTTTTGAGACATGGTCTCTTACTGAATCTGGAGCTCATTGATTCTGCTAGACTGGCTAGCAGTGAGTTTTAGAAATCTTCCTGTCTCCATCACTCCTAACCCCATCCCCAGCACTGGGATTACAGATGCATACCTGGCTTTTTATATGGATGCTAGAGAGTCAAACCTAGGTTCCCATTCTTATACATCAGACACTTTGTCAACTGAGTCATTTAACCAGACCCACATTTAATTTTTTAATAGTTTTCAATGGTTAGGCTTAGGAAATGGTTTTTTCATGTCTTTAATCCTAGCACTTGGAAGCAGAAGCAGACTGATCTCTGCAAGTTCGAGGTCAGTCTGATTTTCATAGTGAATTCTAGAATAGCTAGCATTATGTAAAAAGAGCCTGTCTCAAAAACAAAACAAAAAATGTCCAAACAAAGCAATGTGAGACAAAAATATCTATAAAACACCATTGTGTTCATTTTGTGTTATTTACTGCTGAGTGTGGGGCCTACCCTTCAGTGTGGTTTATATACCCAGTCTTCTCTGTTGGAGAAAATGAATCTTTCCTTTGTAAGTGGATGTCAACTGGAAATAGCTTCTTAGTTTGTGATGTGGGCTTGTGTTCACTTCGCCCTCTCAGTGCTTCAACCCCATCTGTGTTGGACCTGTACAGGCCCTGTGCATGCTGCCACCATCTCTGTTAGTTCATATGTGTATCAGTCCTATTGTATCTGGAAAACATGTTTCCTTGGTGCCATCAATCTCTTATGGGTCTTATTTTTCTGCTTCTTCTGCTTCTTGAGCTCTGATGGGAGGGGCTTGATGTAGACATTTAGGACTGAGTATCCCAAGGTCTCTCATTCTCTGCACATTGTTCCATTGAAATTATAGCCAATTTATAAAATCCAAGATATTTCAAAGTATAGTATCTTTTTCTGACAAATATCAGTCATCTCAGAATGTATGATGAAACATTTTTTTTGGTTCTTTTTTTTGGGGGGGGGTGGTTTCGAGACAGGGCTTCTCTGTGTAGCTTTGGAGCCTATCCTGGCACTCACTCTGGAGACCAGGCTAGCCTCGAACTCACAGAGATCCATGTGCCTCTGCCTCGCAGTGCTGGGATTAAAGGTTTGGGCCACCAATGCCTGGCGCATTATGAAACATTTTATAACTGATCTTAATTACTTTGTGGCACATACTTATTTTGTTGTTTTCCTATGGAATTCACCATTAAATATCATAATTTAAAGAAAATAAATGTATTCTCATGAATACATTGGCTTTTACTTGATGGCAGGTTGAAGATAATTTTGTGCTAGAAAATGAGAAAGAAAAATTTGTAGAGGAATTGAGGGCTATCGTTGGTCAAGCCCAGGAGATCCTTCATATCCACTCAGCTACAGAAAAATCTATTGGTGTTGACTCTATTGCTTTGGAATCCACCAGTAACCAGGTAAGAGCACTTTTTAGTAAGAAGATCATTTGGGGACTTTGTCAGGAACATCATCATTTACCTGTTCATTTTAATTTCAGACAGGATCATCTGAACAAGTACTGATAAATTCTGCATCCACTCAAACCAGCAGTAAGTATATTTAATAAAATTTACTATTTGGCTTTTGAAACAAGGCATTTTGGAATCTTGATATACTTTCATAGATAAAGATATTAACCAACAAATTGGTTAATACACTTGAAAGAAATTAATAGGCTATAGATTTTTTTAGAATATTGATTCTTTATCTGAGTAATTTACTTCTGAGTTATTACATGGTATGTTACCAGAAAAGGCAGTCACAGTGCTGATGACTTTGATAGCCTGCTTGAATCTTAACTGCTAATTTGTTTACTTTGACATGAGATGGACTAAGTATTTCAACTAAATCACTGTGATCTAAGTTTGCCTCAGATTTTAATAGTCATTCAGAACTTGACTGTTTCACTGATGATAATACTTCTACCAGCTCTAGTCACTGGTAACTTTGTAAATCAGATACCACATAAACTTCCAGAAACTAAAATCGGGCTTCTTCTGTTTTATTTTCTGACAACTTTATCTCTTCATTCTTCTTAGCCCTGGTCATGGGTATATTAAGAGTGTCTGGGAGGGGGAGAAGAACCATAGCATCATGAAGGCCTCTGAAGGAATTAACACAACATGAAGAAGCAAAAGGTGGTGTGGGAATAATGGAAGCAGATACCATTATCCTGAAATTTTAGTTCAACTGTATTAGGATGCCAGAGTACATCTGTATCTTACTTTGTTGGTTAGCAGAAATCTGAACAAGTTTCTGACTGACAACGTAAGGTAAAGTTCCAAAGAAAATTACTTGAGAAAGTTACAGATGTAGGGATTTGTCTTACCTTACTTTTATATTGCCATAAGCTAGATTTACTTATCTTTTTTCTGGTGTGTAGTTCTTTAAATTTTAATGCTTGTATCAATGTATACCACCATGATACCACTTAGGCACAGCCATAATTAGGTTGCAGAACAACAGCTGTAGATTTATATGGAGAAACTATGACCCAGTTATTTAAATAAAATGCTTTGCTTCTGGTTACTATTAATACCTACCCTTATATTTGGTTATGTAGACTATTTGTCAAGATTGGGATGTTACTCTTATGGTTTATAATTATCCTCATATTGTTGGAAGTGGAAATGCAACACAAGCTAATTCTTAACTTGATTTTTTTGTTTAATATGAGCACACTGACAGTTGCTTAGTGTATAATTTGTTGACAATTCTTTCTACAGATGAATCTGCTCCTCAGTCATCCCCAGTTGGTCGGTGGCGGTTTTGTATCAACCAAACAATAAAATATCGTGAGGCGCAGTCTCCTCCTTCCTTTCAGCCTTCTGTGACTATGGTTCCTGGGTTACATCCATGTCCTAGTAAGCTTTATTGTCTGTCAGCTTTCTGTAGACTTGGATGATGTATCATTAATTTGCTTTCATGAATATTTTATGCTTATGACAATTTTCATGAGCATATTGGAATATAATGGGTCATTGTATTCAATATTTGCGAAAAGTACCAAGAAGTCATTTCTTCTTGACTGTTGAATTCTGGGGTGTTTTAGGTCTTAAATAGGTTCTCATTTGTCCCTTGGTTTTCTTGTCCTTTTGAGTTTGTGTTTGTACTTTGTACTCATCATAACTTAGCTATTCTTTTGTTATTGTTCCAGGTGCAAGAAACACAAGTAATCAGGAAATAGCACATGGCACACTGTTCACTATAGAGAATAACCCAGTCCAACATGTCCTTTTCGCCTCCCAATCAGAACACAAGGATGTAATTGATGGTAAGATTTCTGAACGTGCTAGTGTAGAAACTGAGCAGCCAACTATTCTCTATCAAGTGGGAGATGATGGACAGATAATGGCACCAGCTACTGATAATTCCAATTATTCTGCTACTTCGGTGTGTCCAGTTCCAGTTGAATGTGAGGTACTCACCGGGCAAGCAGGCATGTTCATACCTACACATCCATGTAAGCAAGCTGCTGTTCTGGCTGATGTGCTTATGGCCCATCCTGGTGAATCGGTTCAGATTGGTGATAATGCTGTTCTAACTTCAGTATTTGTATCTTCTCATCAAAAGCCTCAATCCTTATCAGTACAGCAACCAAGTATAGATGCAGAGTTCATTTCCCAAGGAGAAAACATAGTGAACACTGACACAAGTTCTCCTAAGACAGCTGTTGCCACTCAGACTCCTGGCTTTGAACCAGCTACACTTCCACCTGCTACTGTCCTGGAATCAGATGGGGAACGACCTCCAAAAATGGAGTTTGCAGACAACCGAATTAAAACACTGGATGAAAAATTAAGAAATCTGCTCTATCAGGAGCACAGCATTTCTAGCATCTACCAGGAGAGTCAGAAGGATACTCAAAGCATAGACTCTCCATTTTCTTCCTCTGCTGAAGATATACTATCCTACCCAATGCCAGAAGTCACAGCCATAGGTCACTGTGGAATTCAAGAAAGCCCTGCACAATCCCCAAATTTCCAACAGACAGGCTCTAAGATTCTGTCCAAAGTGGCTGCAAGTCAGCCTGCTAATGTATCAGTGTTCAAAAGAGACTTGAATGTGATAACTTCTATACCCAGCGAGTTATGTTTACATGTAAGTATATTTCTAATTCTTATTCTTTGCTTATGATTTTTTTAAATGCCTTCTCTCCTAAAAGGTTCCAAAGTAACTAGTATTTAAGACTGTGACTTAGGCTGCAGCTACTTAGAACTTCTTAGAAATGGCAGCTCTGTCTTGAGTCTATTTAAGAGAGCCTTGTGGTGAGTTAGCTTGAAATTTGCAAACACTGTGTATAAGTATAGATTATTTTGTGGATAAGAGTAACATAATTTTTTAACTCAAGAGGAAACTGCAAAAACAAAACAAGAAAAATTTAAAAAGAGAAAACTGTTGCCTATTCCCTTATAACAATTATATAGTATTAATTAGATGAGTTTAACTTATTTAAAAGCAAAAATCATCCATAATCCCATGATTTTTTTCTTTTTTTTTTTGTTTTCAGCTTCAATTTTTTTCATTTATTATGTATAGTGTCCTGCCTGCATGTGTCCCTGCAGGCCAGAAGAGGGCACCAAATCTCATTATGGATGGTTGTGAACTACCAGGTGGTTGCTGGGAATTGAACTCAGGGCCTCTGGAAGAGCAGCCAGGACCAGAAATATAGCCCAGTGATAGAGTGCTTGCCCCAGTAACTTAAACAGTACAATATTTAATTAAGTAAGCCTGGTAACCCATACCGTAATCCTAGCACTAAGGAGGTGGTGGTAGGATCAAAAATCCAAAGTCATTTTCAACTACATACTGAGTTTGAGGCAAGCCTGGACTACATGACACCTTATTGCAAAACAACAAATAAAATATCAGAGGGGCTAATTGATCCTGGCCATTTCTTGCTGATCTATTGGTTACTGATAAATTCTAGGAAAGAAAGTCATTGTCTTCAGTTGTGAACCCACCAAGCTCCAACAGAAAGTCCCAAACATACAGTCACACAGATGGTTCTGGTTAAACTCAGTGGATCACAAAATAAATGTAAAGACATGAATGTGGGAAAGGAACTTGTTGGGAGGAGAGGAACTGATAGGGATTAGAGGGAAATGAGAAAGAAAGTGGGGTGTAGCAATCAGAATTCACTACAAATGTGTATAAAAGTATCAAAGAATAAATTTAATTAGAAAAATAAGATAAAAATAAATTTTAAAAAGTAGAGGTAGATCAAGAAGAAAACGTTCTCTCAAGAAGGATTGAGATGGAAAGATTACAAATTTTCCAGGTTTTTTTTTTTTTTTTTTTTTTTTTTTTTTTTTTTTTTTTTGTATTTTTATTGTTGTTATTTTTTTGAGACAGCGTTTCTCTGTGTAGCTTTGGAGCCTATCCTGGCACTCACTCTGGAGACCAGGCTGGCCTCGAACTCAGAGATCCGCCTGTCTCTGCCTCCCGAGTGCTGGGATTAAAGGTGTGTGACACCAACGTGACTAAAGTTTTCAGGTGTTTCTGAATTTTGGAAGACTTGTAAATAACAAATGGGGTATCTTGGGCGGGTACCCAAGTCTAAATACAGAATTCATTTATGTTTCTTATATATTTATACACAGAAACTATAGACAATTTTATATAGTATTATTCATGCACTTTCATTTTAATTGTAACTTATTAGATGAGGTTGGTCACATGTGGAATTTTCCACTACTAGTGGGATCATATTGAGACTCAAAAAGTTTCAGATTTTGGATTTTAGATCCTTATTGAGATTTCTCCCTTATATAATGTAGGAACTTTAATATCCCTCTTTTTATTCTTTTCATGTCTTTTTATTTTTCAGTATTGGCTATTAAGTTCAGGGATCAAATACGTACCATGCAAGTACTATACCACTGAGCCATAACCCTAGCCCCATTTCCCTTTTCTACTTGTTCAGTCACAGAGATAACCACTAGTAATTTTGCTGCTTGTCCTTCTTGACTTTTCTTAAGCCTACATACATCTATTTACATGCATATTGCATATGTTTGCCAAATTAATATTGTGCTATAAACACATTGGTCAGAAAAATGAAATTTTTCATTTTACCATATGTCCTGACTATCTTTCTAAATGTTTACTAGTGTAGTTTTTGTCATCATGCTACACAAATAATATATACTTGTGTGCAAAATAAAATATATCACATTCCAAATCTATAAATATAGTTGTTAGCATTTCCAGATATGATTTTAGCTAATGTATGAATAGTTGTACCAACATAATTCTGCATATATATTATGCTTTTATAGACATAGATACTAGTAATATTTATCTACATATATTCCTTTATTGTATATGCTGTTTTGCACTTTTAAATTTTTGTAAACTATTTTAAGCTATAGAATTAACATGTATAAACAAAAGCATTTCAGAAGAATAGTAAATCTAAACAAGTTAACACTTCCTAAACAAGTTTCTTATTGTAATTTCTTTGGTCATTATCACTAATAGGTTGTAAATAATTGTAAATAATACATGTATTTGTTTCTCTATTGATTTAGTAATTTTGTGTTTTTCTTTTTAAGACTCTGTTTCATTATGTAGCTTAAAGCTGGCATGGAACTCATTACCTTGCCACTCAATAGAATGGACCCCTTATAACTCTGTTACCTCTTAAAGGTTCTGCCTGTTTCTGCCTCTCAAAGCCTCACACTGGGAATTAAATTTTAACATGATTTTGATGAGGACATTCAAACCATAACAAATTTCTCTTTAGAGTCATCATTGTTTAGCAAATAGAAATGCAACTAATTTTTTTTTCAGACAAGGCATCCCCTCTGTCGTCCGAGTTAATCTGGCTTCAAACTCATGGCAGTCTTCCTTTCTCAACCTTCGTAGTGCTGAGATTGTAGATGTGAGCCACTTCTAGCTACAACTGACTTTCATGTGTTATGATTGTGTTCTTGAATTTTGTTGAGTATATTTATTGCCTCTAATAACTTTTGGTAGAGTCTGCTGGATTTTCTTTTTCTTTTTATGGATGTGTTTGTGAGTATGTCATTGTGTGTGTTTGCATATATAAGTGCACATGGAGGATAGAGGTTGACAGTAGGTATCCTTAATCATTCTTCACCATTCTTCACCATATTCAGTTGTGGTAGGATCTTTGATTGATTGATGTAGCTAGACATTTTCCTCTGAGGATCTGAACTCAGTTCTGCATGCTTTCATAACAAGTGATTTACACACTGAGCCATCTTCCTAACCCTGAATTTTCTCTTTTTTTTTCATTGAGATGGGGTCTCATTATATAGACCAGGCTGGCCTCAAACTCACAGAGATTCGCCTGTCTATGTCTCCTGATAGCTGGTATTAAAAGTGTGTACAGCAATGCCCAGCTTTGGGTTTTCTATATATAAAATTTATTTATTATGTATACAGTATTCTGCCTGCAGACCAGAAGAGGGAACCAGATCTCATTATAGATGGTTGTGAGCCATCATGTGGGAATTGAACTCAGGACCTCTGGAAGAGTTGCCAGTGCTCTTAACTTCTGAGCATCTCTCCAGCCCCCAAATAACAATAATTTTATTTGTTCATTTTCTATTTTCTTATATGTTAACGTTTCATGTCATGCTTTCCTCCCTTTTTCCTTTTGCTTTTTATAATGAGATAATTTCTCTATTTTAAAGATGATTATATTGTCCTACTTAGTCATTTTTGCATCAAGGATTGCATTTTTGAATTTCTAATAACTGTAATCCATTCTTCCTTCCTTTCTTTTTTCTTTTTTTGTTTTGATTTTGAGACAGGGTTTCTCTGTGTAACAGTCCTAGCTGTCCTGGAACTCACTTTGTAGACCAGGCTGGCCTCAAACTCACTGAGATTCCCCTGCCTCTGCCTCCCAAATGCTGGGATTAAAGGCGTGCACCAACACTACCTGGCCCATTCTATGTTTTTAAATATTTATATTTAATTTTATGTGTATATATGTATGTATGTCTGATATGTATGTATATGTACCACATGTGTACAGGAGCCACTGAGGTCAAAAGAGGTGTCTGACCCCCTAAAACCAGAGTTACAGATAGCTGTGAGCCACCAGGTTGGTGCTGGGACCCATACCTGGTTGCCCTTAACCAGTGAGCCCTCTCTCCAGCACTGAGTTTAGTAATTTCTTTCAGTGTTAGTTTCTCCAAGTTTTGCTAATTCTTACTTCTGTGTTCAGTTTTTTTCAATTTCTCTCAAGATTGTGTCCATCTGTCCATGTGTGCTATTATTAGTTACCGAAGCTTTCTTTAAATTGTGAGAAAAACATTAGACATACTTTTTTTTTGTTTTATGTTTTTGGTTTTTTGAGACAGGATTTCTCTGTATAACTTTGGAGCCTATCTTGGAATCAGGCTTAGTAGACCAGGCTGGCCTCGAACTTACTGAGATCCACCTGCATCTGCCTCCCAAGTGCTGGCACTAAAGGTGTGTCCACTGCCTGGATAAACCTACTCTTTTGTGGTGTACATTTGAACTTGTTTTTAATGCAGCCTGGAGGGTAGCAGTCATACCTAGTTGATAAAGACAGCTGGGCTGTTAGATGTTGTCTGTGGTCCTCACTGGGTTTTCTCTTGGCCAAAATCTATTTCTTCTTTGTATTCTTATTTTGGGAGCAGGTGTTCTGATGTTTTTTTTTGTTTGTTTTTTTTTTTGTTTTTTTTTTGCTTGGTGTGGAGAGGGAAGGGATGTGGAATTGCTGTTCATTCTTTGGTACCTCAAGCAGTATGCTCTTCCATTCAAAAATTGCCTATTGAGCAGTAAGTCAAAAACCTCTTTTTATTAAGTTCACATTCTAGTATTTAACAATCTGTCAACATAATTAAAGGGCTATGATAAATTAAAAGATTACCCATTTTGAGTGATCATGGAAAGACATATATAGTAGTGGCATTTGTAGATAGAAATTTGTTCAAAGAATCAAAAGAAGGCCAGTTAAGTAGAAAGATGTTTAAAAATATAATACAGTGAAAAGACAGATAGGAGAAAGATTGGGTGTAATTTTATAAGCATCCTTTAGGTTGGCCAGGTTTCTCTGTTGCACTCATATCTACCACTTAGTGTGTAGTCTTTTGAGACAGTTCATATATATAGTACAGTCTGCCTTTTCTTCCTTCAGTCATAAATTCTTATGTCTATGTCTGGATTTCTGTTGTTGTTGTGTCTAAGTATTTCACTCGATCAGGGAAACTAAAATATATAGTAAATATGCCATCTTGTTCTATTCACTACATATGAATACATTTCAATCATAATTTCAATGGGACCAGTGTAGCACTTTCTGAAATGCAATATTTTTACAAGTTTTTTTCCTCTCCTAATTCAAATAATATTGCTATCTCAAAATCAGACTTTGGAAATTTGCTTCCTGATTGATCAAATTTCACTTTTTTTTTTTTAAAAAAAAGGTAACTTCTCATGTATCCTAGGCTGGCCTCAAACTTCCTACATAACCAAGGATGATTTGCCTCCACCTAATACTCCTGCCTACACCTTCTGAGTGCTATGATTATGGGTATATGCACATGAATTCTTCATGTGTTTCTGGGAATCAAACCTAGGACTTTGTGCTTGCTAGGCAAGCCCTCTGTCAACCAAACATCTCTTACTAAAAGTTTCCCTTTTGATAACTCCTGATCTGTTCTAAGTATTAATAAAGCTTATTGTCTCTGTGTAGTCCTGGCTGTCCTGGAGCTCACTCTGTAGACCATACTGGCTTCAAACATGCATATATCCACCTGCCTCTGCCTCTAGAATGTTGGTACTAAAGGCGTGCACCACCACCACTGGGCATTAACGACCAACCATTCTTATGTCCAAAAGTATCCGTGGTTCTATGCACTAAGTTTTTTTTTATTAATTACTATGGATGATTTATTTTTAAAGCACTCATTTAAACACAGCAAATAATCATGGGTATATGGGGAGGGTAGGAGGACAAGAAGATGATGGATTTATAGCAAACATGGTCTGATATTAAAAATCCTTAGACCATGAATTCATAGTAATTTTTCATTTCTTTGTAAATTTCTAGGTGGTTATATAAACCAAGAAACTTGATTTCCTCATATTTCTTTGTTACTTGAGCAACTTTACTATCTTGTTTTTCTATTGTATTATATATCAAGCATCTTTATCTCTTAAATAATAGGAGAACAAACTAACATTTCATTTAATATCATTTATAGCCAGGCATGGTACTATACCCAAAATCCTATCCCTTGGGAGGTAAAGACAATAGGAGCTGGAGTTCAAGGACAGCCTGAGTTACATGATACCTTGTATCTGATGAACCAAAAACTAGTATTTTTAGTCATTTGATACATATAAAAGAAATAACTTATTTTAAATTGTAGTTTTTAAATTTGATGTGATGATAACAAATATTTTGGCCTGGAAAATTAATATTCTCTTTTATTTCATCTGAAGACATAATATTTCCAAAGAAATGTCAAGGCTTCAATTTCAGTCTGATATGGTACTGTGACTGAAACAGTGCATAGTGTAATCCTTTTTGTTAATTATTAAAATCCACATAAGACACTCCAGTTTAGAAAAAAAGTTTACTCACCTTACTTAAATTATTACCACTTTGTTTTTCTTTGGTTTTGTCTCCATTAGGAGATGTCCCCAGATGCTTCACTTCCAGGGGATCCAGAGGCCTATCCTGCTGCTGTGTCAAGCGATGGAACCATTCATCTGCAGACAGGAGGTGGATATTTTGGCCTAAGCTTTACTTGTCCTAGTCTCAAAAATCCCATTAGCAGGAAATCCTGGACTCGAAAATTAAAAAGCTGGGCATACAGGCTACGGCAGTCAACCAGCTTTTTCAAGAGATCAAAAGTCCGTCAAGGTAGTGTGCTTACAGTCAGGGAAATAGACTAGGTAACATCATTTTTCATCTACTTTTTTTTTGTCGTTCATATTTGAATCTTGCCATGTTTTCCATGTAGCTCACGTATGTTAAATATCCCATTAATGTTGTTACCATTTTATTTTTTCCTTTTGCAACTAATTTGGTTTTTCAGTTATTCATCTCACATAGATACTAAGTATTGCAATGTCTGATTTAGAGTCAGGGACTTAAACAATGTTGCTTATACATTAACACTTTTTAATTATCTAGCAAGGGTTAAGCTTTTTCTGCTTTTCTTCATTTTTGGTAATGTAAACAAATTAGTCTTAAAAATGATTTTTTTCTCTTTTTTGCTTATAATTGACAAACTTTACAGTGGAAACTGAAGATAAAAGATCAGCAATTGCTCTTGATCCCACTCCGCTGACACGGGAGTTCTCAGCTGATACTAGGGCTTTGAGTAGATGTAAATCGATGAGTGGATCATTTCAGCGGGGTCGGTTCCAGGTTTGTGTCTTTGGTTGACTCTTTATTGTTGAGTGAAAGGAAACAGCAGGCTAGAGATAGAGCTTCATGTCATCTGTGAGACCCAGAGTTGTATCCCCAACACTATAAAAAAAGTGACACAAGTTGAAATTGATCTGTAGATCATCCTTACTTTAGCTGTAAATCATTTCATACCTAGTTTTTTATCTTGGTCACATCTTTTCATCTTATAAAGCTATCATTAAAGGTGAATCTAAACAATATGAAGATGTTAGTAGTTGCAAAAGGCACAGAAATAGATAATAGTTTGGGGGTTATTACTTCTATCGATTTAATTTCCTGTTTATTATTTTAGTTCATATGTATGTGTTTGTGTGGGCATATCCCTTGTGATGTACTCATAGAAGCCAGAAGAGGGTACCAGATCCCTGGGAGCTGAAGTTACAGATGGTTGTTAAGTTACCATGTGGATGAAGGAAACCAAACTCAGATCTTCTGCAAGAGCAGCAAATATTCTTAACTACTGAGCTATCTCTAATGCCTCAATTTAATCTCATGTTCTTTAGAATCTCAGCAAATTGCACAGTGGAATTTTATTTGAGTAACATGAAGCCAGTCTCTCCAAGGGCCCCAACTAAAAGACTGGCTATGGGCAGTATAAGTTTTGCTATTACCACATATTATATATGTGAAATCACCTTCCACTTGCCTGTGCTGTGTTTTGACAGTGATTTCTTCATGAGGTTTACCCTTTGGTTAGGTAGAACCAGACAAGTTTGCCTTTTTTATGTCTCAGGTGATCGCAGTTCCTCAGCAGCAGTCAGTGAACATGATGTCTTTTGGAAAAGAACACAAACCTCCATTCAAGAAAACAGTCCAGTCTAGTGAACAAGCACTAGCCTTTGCTGAAACTGCAGTGTCTCAGTTGATTGAAGTGGAACCTGCCATGCCCACTCCTAAAGCTTCAGCTTCTTCACAAAAGTTACGGACTCTTTATGAAACGTTTAAAGAAGATAAAGGAGACCCTGAACAAGGTGACATCTTATCTTTCAGCACAGCTTGTGAGACCAGTGTGTCTTCAGTGACTACAGAAAAGAACTTGGAAGAAACTTCAACCACAGTAATTAGTGTGCATTCTGGGTCTGAACTGTTAGATAAAGAAAAGAAGCTGACTCCTGAGAAACAGCCATATGCTAATGAATTTTCAGCCACTCTTGCTGGTAATGGAAAGTCAGTGACAAAAACTGGTTCAAAGAGTGATCGATATTTACCACTCCATGAAGAGCAAGCCTATGCTCAAACACAGAGTTCACTCTTCTATTCTCCATCTTCCCCAATGAGCAGTGATGATGAATCAGAAATTGAGGATGAGGACTTGAAAGTGGAGCTTCAAAGATTACGAGAAAAGTAAGAATGTCACTTTTCTGTAATAAATTTAATTTTTATGAGTTTATAGAACTTAATATTTGCTCAGTAGCTAACTGAGGATTGGTGGTATTTTAATGAGTAAAACTTCTGTGATTAAAAACTATAATAAATGCTAATGTAAAATGTTTATGGAATGATAAAATAATTTTAGTTTAGTTTTTAAAATTGTTTTATGTGTTTGGGTTTTGGCCTACAGTGCCTATGAAGGCTAGTAGAAGTTGTTGGATATCCCCTTTGAACTGGAGTTAACCCGCAGTTGTGAGCTGTTGTGTGGGTGCTGAGAATTGAACCCAGGTCCTCTGGAAGAGTATCTAGTACTCTTTATCTTCAAGTCATCTCTACAGCTCTTTCTTTTCTTGGAGGGGTACTTGTTTTGTTTTGTTTTGTTTTGAGACAGGGTTTCTCTTTGTAACAGCCCTGGCTGTCCTGGAACTTGCTTTGTAGACCAGGCTGGCCTTGAACTCACAGAGATCTGCCTGCCTCTCCCTCCTGAGTGCTGGGATTAAAGGCGTGCACCACCACTGTCCAGCAGAGGGGTGTTTTTTGAGACAGGGTTTCACTATGTAGTTCTGCCTGTCCTGGAATATAATATGGAACTAATCCACGTCACAAACTTGTGGTAAAAGCCCAGCTTCTGCCTCCTTCATGCTGGTATTACAGGAACATGCAAGATGTATTGACTTCTTTATGCTTTTCAGTCCTTGTTCTTTAGGACTCTTGAAGTAAGAATTTACAACTATTCTTACCTTTTATTAGTAGACAGCTAATTTATATAGTCAAAGAAAATTGTTCATCTTTAGGGAAATATAAAATCCTTCTACAATCAAGCTTGCTATTTAGTGAATAGCAGGTGGATCTCTGTGAGTTTGAGACCAGCCTTTCTACATAGCAAGTTCCAGGCCAGTTACAGCTCTGATGTAGACCTAGTAGCAAGACCCTTAGCTCTGAAAGTGCTAGAGTTCTTCCATAAGGGCAGGAAGTTGGGATTGTTTAGTCCTTGGCAGCAGCTGGCATTACAATGCATAGGTAGTCCTAGGTATCAGTATTCCTCAGCCCCTGGCAATGGCTAGTATTAGAGCTCTCAGGGTTGAATTTCTGAAATCCTCCATGATTAAGTCTTGGCAGTTCTCTGGAATTCTTCCAGTGACCAGAACCAGCAGTTTCTTTTCTCTGGGTTTTTATAGCTTTCAATCCTTTTCCGCCTCAGCTCTCTTTCCTTTCAACTTCCACCATCCACTAGTTCCTGCCTGGCCTCTCTCTCAAACTATTGAGCTGTCTTCAACTGCCAAGCAGTTGAACCTTGCTAACTTTTTAAAGCTCAGCCTCTGACAACCAAATTCTCTCTTCTTCAGTTGTCAAGTAGCCAGCTGCATTGCCAGTTTCATAGCTCAGGCCTACAGACTGATCATCTCTCATTGCCTCTGCTGTCTCTGCTGTTTTCTTTGTGTTTACCAGCCCAGCCTACACTACTGAATGTAGGCAAAACAAGACCACCCAGGAGAAGCAGCTTTATATTGGGCCTAATGTTTTTACACCAGAGAAGACAGCACAGGACCTGCTTATAAAGCCAGAGGAGTATCTGAACCAATCACAGCATAACTTTCACAGTACTGTCCCTTTAGCCACAGCCACAGCAGTCTCTCTGGTAGGCTATCAAAAATTATTCCCCTATGGCCTTGCAGCAGGGAGATGAAAATGTTTGCAGAGTCTTCTACAGTTCTGCAAGGCTTTTGATAGCAAAAGGCTGAGTACACACTGTTTGGAAAAGTCCTGGTTATGGCTGCACCTCTAGGAGCTAGAGCAATCAGCTGAGTTCATTGTGGAGTTTTCTCAAGGTATCTGTAAAGTGTTCAAAACTGCTTTTGCTAGCATAGAATGATCCAGCTGGCTGACTGACAGTCTTTGTACTCAAAGCAGCAAGGAAGAGTCCAAAAGCTACTAGTTAGGAAGTCAAATTGCATAGTCCCCTAGTAACTGGGCTTTTTTTTTTTTAAATAGGAAAATGAATGTCAGAAGGAGTGCTTAGAATAGAAATGTTAATTTATCATTAACACTAGTAATAGCTACTTTAACAGATTTTAATTGTGTTTAGAACCTGCCCAGTGGCTAAGGGAATAAATGTCCATTCTTCTCTTCTGTCTCACTACCCCTGGACTACATCTCCAGCCCTTTAGTGTTCTTTTGTCATTATGGTTTGTCCATAGTATTTTTTCCAGAGGATTGGTAGACACTATAGACTGATAATAATAAGCTGAGGTTTTTATTTTTACCTAAATTCATTTGAATAATCTATAGATGTGGGATTTATATCTTAAAAGTTAAGTTTAAAAATTAAAGGTAGTCCTAGTGCCACACACTTGTAATCCCAGTCCTCAGAAGACAGAAGCAGGCAAATCTCTGTGTATTCAAGGCCAGTGTGATCTCATAGTGAGTTTCAGGCCAGCAAAGTTACTAGTGAGAACCTATCTCAAAAGTGATACATAGGATAATATTCAAATAACAAATTGAGAAAGCAAACCAAAAGACACCTTGCACTTCTCATACTATACCTCACATCTCAGAATTACTCACTATGAACTGTTTAGGATATATATCTTGTTGGTTCTTTTTCTGTTCATATCCTTTTTTGTCCTTTACAGTAATTAAGTAAAAAATGATCATGTTATTCTATATTTTTTACTTTAAATTTTCTGTAATATTCATATCTGTGGAAATCTACCTTTAAAAAATCAGTGTATGCAATTCCAATGTATGAGTGTATCCAAGTTTATTTAATCCCTTCTTGAGAGATTTCAGTTTACTCCATGTTAAATTATATAAATGATGCCTATCTTTTTATACACAGAGATATTTCTGTGTGATATGATTAAAAGGTCAGTATTCCTAAAGCTTATAGATAATTGTTAGAATTGTGTTTGATGTCAGGCTTGGCTGCTTATGCCTGTAATTACAGCTCTTGAGTGGTAGAGGCTAACCTGGTGAGTTCAAGGCTAGCCAGTATTGCATACATAGTGAAGTCTTGTGTCAAAAGAAAAATTGGTTTGGGTGGTTGCAGCAGCACACTCCTTTAATCCCAGTGCTTGGGAGGCAGAGGCAGTCTGATCTCTGATCTACAGAGAAGAGCTAATTCCAGGACAGCCAAAGCTACACAGAGAAACCCAGTCTTGAATACTCTTTCCTCTGCAGATACTCTGCATTCCACCATTTTTAATATTAATGCTTTGTCAAGTTTATTTATACCATTACAAAGTTTCTGAGTTAGGTTTTGTGGCACCAAAGTTATTAAAATATTTTCCACATAACTTTTATTCAGACATATTCAGGAGGTGGTCAATCTTCAAACACAGCAGAATAAAGAGCTGCAGGAGCTCTATGAACGCCTTAGAGCCACTAAAGACAGCAAAGTTCAATCTTCAGAGATTCCTTTGTCACCTTCATCACCACGTCGGCCAAGACCTTTGAAAAGTAAACTCCGAAGCCGCCCTCAATCCTTGACACATTCAGAAAATGTCATTGTTGTAAAAGGTAAACCAGTCATAAATGTAATCACTTTAATTGTTGTAAAATGTTCACCAATCATAAACAAAATGTTTTTCAAAAACTAATCATATCTGGGCATAGTGTAGCATGCCTGTAGTTGAAGAACTCAGGAGACTGAGAAAAGAAGATGGTGACTTCAAATCTAGTCTGTGCTAAACAGTAAGAACTTGTTTCAAGAAAAATATAATCTGGTCAAAGAACAGCAAAATTAGAGAAACAGTGACAGTACAGGTTTCTTTTTATTAGGTTGAAATAATTTAATGACGTACACATTAATCTAAAATACTATCTTTTTGGTACTATCTTTTAGTGAAATAATGAGTCCTGTTGGCAAATTTTGAAGTATAACTAAGTTTGTTTGTTTTATGTGTTCATTTAGAAAACAAACAGGTAGAATTCCAGTGTCTTCCCCTAAATAGTTTCTAAAATGCTCCAGTCAGTGAGAATTGTTCATCTTATATTTAGAGTTGGTTTAGAAGTTTGATGATTGTACAGGTAAGCTTTGAGATACTTCCATGTTGATCTGAAACAAGAGGTCTTTATATATTTCTTTTTAAAGATTTATTTTATTTTTATTTATTTGTGGGGTGGGTGCAGAAAAAGGCATTGGTTCTCCTGGAGTTGATGTTACAGACAGTTATGAGCCACCTGACATGGGTGCTGGGAACCAAACTCTGGTCTTCTGTAACATCAGCAAGTGCTCTCCACCACTGAGCCATTTCTCCAGCACCTTTATATATTATTTTTAAGAATATTAGAAAAGTGTATTTCTTTTTTAAAGATTTATTCATTTATGCTTTATGTATATGAATGTTTGCCTGTGTGTATGCACATGTACCATATGGTGTGCCTGGTATCAATGGAGGTCAGAAGACAATGCTAAATCTTATGGAACTGGAGTTAAGGATGGTTATGAACTACTACCATGTGGATGCTAGGAAGCAAACCCAGGTCCTGTGAAAGAGCAACAAGTGTTCTTAATGCTAGGCCATGTCTCCAGCCCCTAAAAATGTTATTTCATTAACCCTGGGAAATGAGTCCATATCTATTTAACTAATAAAGAGGTTACTCCTCAGGTTTGACTTCTTTGGTTCCAGGTACATAATAATGAAGGTCAACACACCACATACCTGCACATCTATTTTTATTGCTGTACTGTTCAGAATAGTGAAGACATAGAACCAGCTAGATGTCCATTGGCAGATAAATGAATAAGAAAAATGTGGAGATGGGGCTGGAGAGATGGCTCTGAGGTTAAGAGCACTGACTGCTCTTCCAGAGGTCCTGAGTTCAATTCCCAGCACCCATATGTCAGCTCACAACTGTTTTTAACTCCAGTTCCAGGGGATCTGATGCCTTTACACCAAAACACATAAAATAAAGTTAAATAAATTATAAAAAAGAAAAATGTGGAGTACCATTCAGTGAAATTTTATTCAGCTGTAACGAAAAACAAGATGATGGAAAACTAGTCATGTATATCAGTATATACAATTTCCAGAACCAACTCCCACAACTTGTCTTCTGACATCCAAATGCTTGCTGTGGCACATATGCACACACACAAATGTACATATACAGAGACACACACAGGAAGCCCCACATAGGGAGATTGAGGCAGGAAGTTGGTTGAGTTAGGGGCCAGCCTATATTGAGCTATAGGATGATCCTGGTAGAAATAGAGTTGAAGGGTAGACTAGGATTGAAGGCACCTTTAGAGATTCAGTATCAGAAGTTGTAAGACCTTCAGTCTGATGTTATTGCCTTTATATCTAGACTGCATTTTGTTCCCAAATGCCTTGCTTGTTTATATACTAGTTTTGTTGGTCTGTTTAGAGATGAATTCTTCCTGTGGTCCCCAACCTTGGCTGAGCTCAAATTATTCCCTCTACCTAAGCCTCTGAAGTTTCTAGGACTATAGGAGAGGCACTCTATGATATTCTTTTTCTTATTCTGTGATATGCTGAAGATTGAACCACAGGAGCCTTGTACATTCTAGGCAAGTGCTCTATCAGTGAGCTAAAACCCTAGATTTACCCAAATGGCTTATTTTTATTTATTTATTTATTTATTTTTGCTGTGCCCAAAAATGGTTTTCATATGATTTTGGCTGATTATTTCAATTATTAAAGTGGATTATAGTAGTTTCCACATGTTGTTGAACTTTTCAGTTCTATAAATTTTGCTTCATGTATTTTGGAACTCTGCTGCATGTGTTTGTGATTGTTATAGCTGTTGATATTAGTATATATAGGCAATCAGCTTTCTTTAGTTTACTAATTACAAAAGTTGTACATTTCCATTCTTTTAATGTGTTTTTATTTTTTAGTTAATTCATTTCTTTTATGTGTCTCTGTATATGTACATGTGTGTGTGTGCATATGTGCCACAGCATGCATTTGGATGTCAGAAGACAAGTTGTGGGAGTTGGTTCTGGAAATCAAATTCAACTTGTCAGGCTTGGCAGCAAGTACCTTCACCCAATGAGTCACCTTCCCAGCCCTTTTATACTTTTAATCAGAACAGTATTTATTATGGATATCATTATACAGTTAGATCATGTATTGTATGTACTCTGTCAGCATTTGTCTTTTTATTGTGTTATTTAAACCATTTCTATATAATTTAATTATAAATAAAAAAGAATTCCTTTTTTTTTGTTTTTTGAGACAGGGTTTCTCTGTGTAGCTTTAGAGCCTCTCCTGGAACTCAACTCTTGTAGACCAGGCTGGCCTCAAACTCACTGAGATCCACCTGCCTCTGTCTCCCGAGTGCTGTGATTAAAGGCTTGTGCAACCACCACAAAGCTCCAAAGAAGCATTTCTACTTATCATTTTGCTCTGTTTTTCCATGTCTAATGACCTTTTTGTTATTCTTTGATTCCTGCCTGCCTGTCTTTTTAATAAACTTGTATTCTTGAAAGGTGTGTGTGTGTGTGTGTGTGTGTGTGTGTGTGTGTGTGGGTGTGGGGGTGGGGGGGGTTACCTCTCTGAGGCACAGTCCATCCCTGTGCCTCAGGCTCTTGTTTTTTTAGATAGGCAGGAGTTAGCAAGCCTTCCTGATGCTGCTGTCTTGCCTCCCCTAATATCTGGAATTAACAGGACTTTGGATGGCTGACTTGTTAATGTGGGTGCTGGGATATGAACTTCAGTCTTCATGATTGTGCAATAAATGCTGAGTCATTTTTCCAGGCCCTAAATATATTTTTATAATGTTTAAATCTTCTTGTTGCTTCCTTTATTATACGTTTTAGTTATTTTCCTGTAGTGGCCATGGGGATTACAATTATCTTCTTGTACTAAGAAGGCAATATAGTTCAGAATAACACTATCCTAGTTTCAATGGTATATACATTTTCTTCTGCATATGTGCCTTCCTTTCTTTGTACTATTATTGTACACATTACATTTTACATATGATCAGCAAATCAATAAATTTGTATAATTATTGCTTTTGTAGTCATCTTTTTAATCAGATGAGAATAAGATAGTTATAAAAACAAAATATACTTATACTGAATATTATATTTACTGAGGCAGTTCTTTGTTTCTTACATATACTTTCACTGCATTGCCAACTGTTTTCATCATAAAGGACTTCATCTATTTTTTTCCCAAGGCAGCTGTGTTAGCAATTCATTTTAAGACTTTTCTTCTAAGAATTTTTTTCCATATTTTCAATTTATACGATTTGTTTTACAAAGCAGGTTGTACAAAAATGCCTTGGACTCAAAAGCTATTAAAAGAACCAATTATAATTCAAGTTATAATTGCTTTTCTCTTTGCCCCAAAACATAACATAAAAAACACATTCGTGTTTTTTGCTTGGGCAATCAAAAGGAAATTTTTTAGGTTTCCAATTTATGTATATCACTGCTTTGACAGCTTCCAGCTCCTAGAAACAGCTATAACTCTGTTTTGTCTGTTGGCTCAGAATTAAATGACCTCAATTATTTACAACAGATAGAATACTATTATAATCAAAATTCTAAATTAATTAGCTACTAAAGTTCATCTGTAATAAAAATAGATAAATTCTTTTGTGCCATAAAGTTGGTAAAAAACTAATGAATCTTATGAAATTTAAATAAAAAGAAAGATTTTTACCCTGTAAATGTCTATTAATAAACAATATTATGGTATAAGGATCCTGAAAATATAAAAAGAAAGAGCATTTTTTTTGTAAAAAGAGACTTTATCATGTGGTCTCATATTTCCAAGGACTTTGGGAAATAATGTAAAACAATAGATTCATTTTTATTAAAAGCAGAAATCAAAATCATGATGTACACTTATACCACCCCCTCTACAGCTCAGGGAATGTTATGGAAGTGGAGCTGGAAAAAGAGCCAAAAGATAGGGTAAAGGGCTACAAAATACTATTCCCTACACTTAATGCAACCACTGTAATCATTAGCTCACACAAACTGTAATTACTATTACCTGGACTATCTAAAACCCGCCCTATCAACAACCAGTCAAGGGAAAGTGCCTAATGAGGCCCTATGCTTTACTTCTGAACTACTGGCTATTGATACCATTTCTGAGAGAGGGTGAATCACCAACCTTTAATTGTGTAACCTCTGCTGTATACTACCAGGTTCCAAGAGGTAGCTCCAAATATCTGTTCCCACAGATATTCTTCATTAATCTTGCTGGGTCACAAAACAAATAGACATGAATGTGAGAGATTTATAAAATTCTTTGTAATTTTAAATTTAAAAATCTTATATTCAAGAAAGGCCTTGCTCTACAAATGATTGGTTAAATGAAAATTTAGATTATGGGGTATTCAGTCATCAAGAATAACTAGTTATCAGGGCCTAGAGAAATGGCTCATTAGTTAAGTGAACTTACTACTCTTGAAAGGATCCAAATTCATTTCCCAGCACCCATGTTAGGTGACTCATGACTGCCTGTAACTCCAGATCCTCAGAGATCTACACTCCCAGAGACACACACATACACATAATTTAAAATAATAAAAATAAGCTTTGAAAAATAACTATCAAAATGCGCACTGAAAATATACATTTCTTTTTGAGTGTTCCCAAGAATTAACCATCTTCCTCCCTTTAATACCTTTTCACAACAAAGTTTTTGTTTTTGGTTCCACACATTGTTAATGAACCCAAGTACATTTCCTTATCACTTGAAAGGCACCCAGTGACTAGACGACAAGTTGCTGAGGAAAGAAAAATGACAGTCTCTTGTGCCTGGGAAGAAAATCTGTCTTAACTCACTGTAAGTTTTAAGCTTCTTTTGTCCTTAAGCACAAGGAAAAGGGAGGTGAGATAAGAAAAGATTGAAAGCTAAAGATGTCAAGGCTCTTCTCCATTGTTTTGAAATGGAATGTGAAACTTAGTGGGTATTATGTATGTGATCACATAGTCCAGTCCAGATGCCCCTTTTATCTTTTTAAATTTTCAGTTACCGTTATCTTGGTGTCTTCAGCCTTGAAAAGGCAGGAGAGCTATTGAATAAGTTTAGCGCAAATCAACCTTGTACTACAAGTCTGGAACAGGCATTCCTTAAACAACTAACAGAAATCTGACCCAAAGGTTAAGGTAGAAAGATGACAAATACAAATATGAAAGCTTCTCAATATTGACTGTTTTGATTTATTTTTCTCAGAATGTAAATGTCCTGTTGAGTGTAGAATCATTTCTCCATAGGAGAATATGTGATCCAGAGAAAAGCCAGTGTTACATAATTACTCACAGGGTGTCCATTTTTAATTAAATATTGTTTGGGTAATGTGAAAAAATTCACTAAAAATAACAACAAAATATGAGCACTATTGAACTTTGCAGACCCAAGTGTGAAGTTAGTCCTTTCAGCAAAAGTGGGCTTCCTATCCCTAAAAAGGAAGTTTAGGTAACTATTGATCTGCATAATCCACATATGCAAGGTATCATCTGTAAAAAACTAGTAATATATTGCTCAACTGTGACCTTTAAAATTGCTTCTAAAGTCAACTAAGAGCAAATACGCTAAAGGGTTTATTTCAGTTTTCCCTCAACTATAACATTAGATTTCTGAAATAAGAAAAGATAAACTACAGGGACTTGCAAGTTTTGTCTTTATAACTTTTTTTTCAAATCTCAATCACATTTATGTTTTTTATTCATTTCTCATTTCATACATAGAGCCAACTTTATCTGCTTTTGAATAGAAATGTCACACTGATTAACTCTACTACATACACACTTCTTATAAGACATCTTCCTTTTTCTTCATAAGTCAAAATTCATCTTCAGCAAACTGGTATTCATTTCTCTATGTCTTCTCTGCCATTATGACAAAAGTCAATCTTCAAGGAAATTGCAGCATAGTGTTATCTGGGAGGGGGGTCACCTTCCTTTTTATGGTCTTTCTTGCTTGATAGTTTTTCATAATCTTGATTCTATTTCATTATCTTCTTGCCATATATTTGCGTGTGTGCTTTTCCTTATGTTTAATTTGTAAATTAATTTTTATTTTATGTATATGCCTAGTGCCTGCAGAGTCCAGGAGAAGGCATGAGATCACCTGAAACCAGCATTATAGACAGTTGTGAATCACCAGTTATGAGTCACCATGTAGGAGCTTTACATGAAACCCAGGCCCAGTGATATTCACCACCGAGCCATCTCTTCAGCCTCCATTTTTATTTTACTTTATTTTATTTTATTTTATTTTATTTTACTTTATTTTGTTTTATTTTATAAGAGCACGCTATAGGGGCTAGGGAGATGGCTCACAGGTTAAGAGAAATGGCTGCTCTTCCAGAGGTCCCAAGTTCAATTTCCAGCAATCGGATGGTGGCTCACAACCATCTACAATGAGATCTGGTGCACTCTTCTGGCCTGCAGGCATACATGCAGGCAGAACACTGTGTACATAATAAATAAATGAATCTTGAAAAGAAAACAGCTGGGTGTTTGTGGCGCACGCCTTTAATTCCAGCACTCAGGAGGCAGAGGCAGGCAGACCTCTGTGAGTTTGAGACCAGCCTGGTTTCCAGAGAGAGTGCCAGGATAGGCTCCAAAGCTACACAGAGAAACCCTGTCATGAAAAAAAAAAGAAACAGAGAAAAGTTCACTATATAGTTCAGGCTAGCTCTGAACTTGTTATATTCCTGCTTCAAATGTCCCAATGCTGATAGTAGAAGAATCTACTACAGTCCTTAGTGTTTCTTAAACTTTAACTATGAACAGAAATATTAGTAAAAAATGAATAAAATGTGAATCTATAGTTTTGAACCTTGTTTAAATACATTAGCATTCTAGGCCTGCCTCTCAAAGAACTTAAACATGATTAATTTATTTTGTCTGGGTCTAGTTTCTCCCTTAAAAAACACTTTTATGCAGGCCTGTGGTGGCACATGCCTTTAATCCCAGCACTCGGGAGGCAGAGGCAGGTGGATCTCTGTGAGTTCAAGGCCAGCCTGGTCTACAGAGCGAGTGCGAGGACAGCCAGAGCTGTTACACAGAGAAAGCCTGTCTCAAAAAAATATACCTTTACTATATTACTAAGATTGTTTCCATTTTTGTCATTCTATGATGATGCTTCTTGCTCCTGCTCCTGTTTCTCTTCCTCCTTCATGGCTTGAACCCATGAATATACATGCTACATAAGCTGTATAGTACTAAGGCACATCTCTAGCCCTGTGGGTATTTTTAATGTTTTTATTTGTTTTTTGAGAATTTCATAAAGGTATACAATGTTTTCCTATCATTGACCCCCATTCCTTCCTCCAACTCTTTCTAGATTCCCACACATTCCTTTCCCAACTTAATGTTCTCTTTTTAAATAACCCAAAAGTCCAATAAGTGCTTCCCATGTGTGTGAGGCCATCGACTAAGAGCATTGTCAACCTACCAAGAATCACACCCCTAAAAATACTCACTTCCCTAGAAACACAAGTTGCCAATAGATCCTTAGCTAGGGGTGAGAGTTTGAGTGCCTGTCTTAGTCAAAGTTATGTTGCTGTAAAGAAACACAATGAGCACATAACTCCTATAAAGGAAAGCATTTAATTGAGGCTGGTTTATTGTTCAGAGTTTTAGTCCATTATCATCGTGGTGGGAAGCTTGGTAGAACGCAGGCAGACATGATGCTGGAGAAGGAGCTGAGAGTTGTACATGTGAAGCCACAGTCAGAAGGGAGAGAGAGACACTCAGCCTGGCTTGAGCATCTGAAACCCCAAAGGCCACCCCCAATGTCACACGTTCTCTAAGAAAGTCTCACGTACTCTAACAAGTTCACACAGTCCTAATTCTTTCAAATTGTGCCACTGCCTGTGAGCCTATTAGGGCCATTTTCATTCAATCCACCACAGTGCCCCTCCCACATGTGTTCTGAATTGTTGACTGGTTTGATATTCTGTAGGTCTTGTGCAGTCAGCCATAGCCATTTTTGAGTTCGTGAATGCAGTGATCTTGCCATGTCTAAGACAGCTTGACCCAGGTCTTCCCCAACCTCTGGATCTTAGACTCTTTCTTTTCCTTTTTCTGCAAAATTCTGAGTATTGAGAGGAGGTGTGTGATGTAGATGTTGGGCAGTCCACAGATACTTACTCTCTCAGTTTGACCAGTTAGGCATCTTTGTGTTAGTTGCCATCCACTACACAAAGGAGCTTCCCTGATGAGGACTGAGGGCTGCATTAACCTATGGGTACAGCATTAAATTATAAGTTATTTTATTATTGTATCCATTTAGCAAAATAACAGTAGTAGGTTCACCACTAGAACCCTCTGAGTTCACCATCCAGATTTCTTGGGTAGATTTACAGTAGCAAGCATGAGTTTCCTCTTGTGGAGAGGACCTTAAATCTGAGCAGAAAGTGGTTGTTTATTCCCATAACATTTATGTCACTACTATACTTGCCAGGCCAGTCCTTATTGTACCTCGAAAGGGTCACAGCTGGGTAAAACTCCTGATGATTTTATCCCTCAGCAACCTGCTGTATTACTGAAAACTAGCCAGCAGGAAATAAGCTTCTAAGTCAGTACCAGCTTGATTTCTTCAAGTCCTGTGACCAAAGTGTGTGGTGTCTTCAGCAACAGGGTATCACCATCACATTCTATTGGGCAACTGAGAGCAATGGTAATAGGTTGTATTAATTTAGGGGTCTCTGGAACCCCTCTGACCAAAAATTTGAGAGGAGGTGTCCCACATAAGCACTGGGCCTTTTTATTTGATAGCCTATGACTTCTAAGAAGAGCATTAACCCCTATGAAAGGTAACTTAATTTAAACTCTTTCATGTGTATGTGTGTATAGAAGTTTCTAACATAGTAGTTTCCATATAGCCTTTTCAAACATCCTTATTATAGTTATTCCCTCTGCCAACCCTCTCCTTTGCCCTAGTCCCCCATCCCCCTCCTCATTTTCCCCTATAACCCTCTTCTTTCCCTCTTCTATTAGGACTTTCTTGTCCTCAGTGGCCCCTTTTTAATTTCCTGGCTTCTATAGGTACATGTGAGTCTTTTTTGACTCCTCCAAATATCTACTCAAAGAAGCATATAAAAAGATTAAAGTTATACTAATTTTTGGAGAGCCTTTTATCATACTTGAGTGATACCTATGGTATCCATTTAATTTATTGTCCAAGCTCTAAGAAACTTTTGAGTATTGAAGGGTTATTTAGTGATTACACTAGCATAACAGCTTTCAATTGGCAGTCTTAAGTCAACTATAAATAATGGTTACCCTTATCTCATATATGTTGTTAAGAGTTACCTTGGGCTAGGAAATAGCTCAGCATGCAAAGGAACTTGCGCCCAAGCCTGATAACCTGAGTTTGACTCCTGGGAACCCGCATGGTGGAAGAAGATAGCTCACTTTTGCCAGTTGTCCTGTGACCTACACACCACACACACTCAGACACACACAGACATTAAATTTAAAAAAAAAAAAAACAGGTGCATTATCTAATTATCAGTTGCAATTCCTTTATATGCTTTTCCTGTTTTCTTTTGTTTTTGTTTTTCTTGTAGATGCCGTGTGTGTGGAGAGTAATACTGTATCATGCCAGCAATCTCCAGCCAGCAAAAAGGGGATGTTCACAGATGATTTACACAAGCTGGTGGATGATTGGACAAAGGAAACAGTAGGAAATTTTCCTAGTAAGCCAAGTTTAAACCAGCTCAAACAGAACCAACAAAAATTAGAGGCAGAAAATTGGAACAAAGTATATGAAGTAAGTGGTTTATCCTCTGTCCTCTTTATAAAAATTAAAAACTATAAAATTGATTTTGGCTATGATTATAGATACTGCTCAAAAATAGTATGGAATATGATATTGAGACTTTGAGCCTTATCTAGATTTATCGTGTCTTTGAGCAAACTATCTTTTAGACCAGGAGTTGCCAAATTTAATGAAGGGAATAATTAGTAAACATGTTAGGCTTTCCAAGCCACAGGGTTACAAGAATCAACTTTATTGTAATGCAAAAGCAGTCTAAGAAAATATGTAAGCAAATGGTTGTAACTCTGTTCTATTACCACTTGTTTTTGTTTTTGTTGTTGTTGTTGTTTTGGTTTTTCAAGACAGGGTTTCTCTGTAGCTTTGGAGGCTGTCCTGGAACTCACTCTGTAGACCATGTTGGCCTCTAACTCACAGAGATCCACCTGTCTCTACCTCCCGAATGCTGGGATTAAAGGTGTGCTGGGATTAAAGCCACTATCGCTGGCTTTTGCCACTTAATTTATGGAATGTTCCTCCTTTGAAGCCCCTCCCATTCATAGAGTTCTTATTTTTCTTTCACAAATCAGTTTGCTTTGCTTAAAAGACAAATAAACATGAGTTATGAAAAAAGGTGGTAAGCCAAAATTTGCTGACTCTAGGTTTATACTATTTTCTCTCTAAAAATATAAAGTATTCAAAATGAATTCATCTGGAGAGAGGGTTAATTAGATGGTACAAGAAGAAATAAATGTTGAGGAAAACAAAGTCCTATGCTATACATCTCAATGTTCTTAAACCCAGTAAGGTATCTGAACTATCTTTGTTTAGTTTATAAAAATAATTGTAAGGCTGTGGAAGGTGAAATATTATGAGATCTATTGAGTTTATAGAAAAAATGACAGTTATTACACATGGCCATACAAGATAAGATGTACATATATGGGCGTTGGTGGTGCACGCCTTTAATCCCAGCACTCGGGAGGCAGAGGCAGGCGGATCTCTGTGAGTTTGAGGCCAGCCTGGGTCCAGAGCAAGTGCCAGGGCAGGCTCCAAAAGCTACACAGAGAAACCCTGTCTCGAAAAACCAAAAAAAAAAAGGTGTACATATAAGTGATATGTGGGAAACCACAGTGTATTCTGGCGTGGGAAGAAGATATATTATCCAACAGAATGTATAGAATAGTGTAATTTAGGCAAAATTATATGTTAGGCATATGCTTATGAATATATAAATATGAAAATTGCTGAAGAATATGCTGGATGGTGAAATTTGGACCTTATTTTACCTTGTACTTTTTTGTGTTCAAATTTTTAAAGTCAGTAATATTTTTTTTATTTTATTAGTTCTAGTTAGGGAACAAGCTTATTTCCCCTGCCTTGGGGCCAACTTCTCCCCCCCCCCCCCCCCCCAGCCTCCCCCCCCCCCCATCCACCCACCACTCCCCAGGCAGGGTAGGGCCCTCAACGGGGGCACTGCAAAGTCCACCAAATCTTCCTGTGCTGGTCCTGGGCCCTTCCCCATGTGTCCAGGGCCAGAGTGTATCCCTTCACATGGGATGGGCTCTCAAAGTCCCTTCTTGCACCAGGGGAAGCTTAAAGTCAGTAATATTTTTTCAAAGTAAGCAATCCTGTTAAAAATTAAGTGCTAGAATTTCAGTTTTTGTAATAGGAAGATATCTCTGAATATATTATTCTTGAGTGTATACTTGATAATAGAAATAGTCTTTGAACATAGTTAAGTAAAGAACATGAAAATAGTTACATTGAGCTGATGTTGCAGTTTAGTGGTAGAGCACTTGACTCTCAAGTAAAAAAAGCCCTGGATTTGGTACCCTGCACTGTGAGGGAAAAAATGGTATAAAAATGTGCTGTTGTCCCAGCACTCAGGAGGCTGAAACAAGAGTATGATTAATTGGTGCCTGAGATACATACTAAAAAATACATCTGTGAAAACTTGGCTTCCTTAAGTAATGAACAATGTATCTGCTTGGGAGATGTATGTGTTTGTCTTATTCCTGGCACCAGTTGATGTTCGGATAACACCATTACTGTAAAATCTGAGATCCTTCAGAGGCATTTCAAGACATTAAATGCATTTGTTCTGTCAGTGAAAGATTCTGAGTGTTGTATGAAGGAAGGTTTTGTTGACTGGTTGAATGGTGGTTTATTGAGTATAAAGGAGGGTGTTTACAAGAAGAGTGAGGAGAAAATTATGTGTAAATAAAAGCTGGAGAGATGGCTCAGAGGTTAAGAGTACCGAATGCTCTTCCAGAGGTCCTGAGTTCAATTCCCAGCAACTACATGGTGGCTCACAACCATCCATTATGAGATCTGGTGCCCTCTGCTGGTGTGCAGATATACATGGAAGCAGAATGTTGTATATGTAATAAATAAATAGATAGATAAATAAATAAATAAAATCTTTTTTTAAAATAGTGGTAAAGAAAGCCGGTGGTGGTGGCGCACGCCTTTAGTCCCAGCACTCGGGAGGCAGAGGCAGGCGGATCTCTGTGAGTTCGAGGCCAGCCTGGTCTACAAGAGCTAGTTCCAGGACAACCTCCAAAGCCACAGAGAAACCCTGTCTCAAAAAAACAAAAAGAAAAAAAAATGTGGTAAAGATCTTTTAACAGAGTTTGGTCCCAATGTCAGCTAGTCATTTACTATGACTTCATGTCTTTTTTGCCTCAGAGTTCTTATATTTCAAATGTGGATAGTCCTTGCAGGATTACTGTGAAGATTAAGTTAGCACATCATACCATCACAGGGATTACTTATATGTAGTAACTATTTTTGTATTTTAGATTTGGTTGGTTATGTATTTGTGTAGAGGGCCAACTAATATTCTTGCATGGTACTGTCCTGTAGCCCTACTTAGACATTTTTGTTCACATAATCATGTATCCTTTTATTGTGCTCCGCTAAAAGCAAATGAAGCCATTAAATAAGTATTAAATTGCATTTATACGAATTACAGAGAAAGGTATAGGGGGATATTATGCAGTAAGGGATATTTGATCTACTAAAAAGAGGTCAGCCGGGCGTTGGTGGCGCATGCCTTTAATCCCAGCACTCGGGAGGCAGAGGCAGGGGGATCTCTGAGAGTTCGAGACCAGCCTGGTTTACAAGAGCTAGTTCCAGGACAGCCTCCAAAGCCACAGAGAAACCCTGTCTCGAAAAACCAAAATAAAATAAAATATAATATAAAAAGAGGTCAATGAGGACAAGCCAGATGGCCCAGATGGCACTTGTCACCAAGCCTGACTACCTGAATTCAGTTCCCAGAACCCAGATGGAGCAAACTGACTCCCACAAGTTGCCCTCTTACCTCCACATGCAATTCTCTGATAAAGTGATAATTGACTAAGATCTAAAGAGTAGGAGCTAATTCGTTACTAGTTCCTGCCTAAGCAGAAAACTACCATATGCAAAAGCCTCATGTGAGGGAAGAAACCTGAAAGGACAAAGTAAGCCAGGCTGGCTGAAGTGAACAGTGGTAAACTGTAGGGGAAGCTGTAGCCAGCCCCTAAGAAGGCGTGGCTACAGCTTCCCCTACAGTAAACAGTGAATCTAAGGAGTAGGTGGAGTCTTTAATGTGGTAGTGATAAGGAATGCTGTATTTATTTTAAGAAAGATAGATAGTTATGATGCCCCAGATCTTTAATAGGATCACATTTTAATTATTGTTTCTTTTGAGAAGAGCACTGACTGAAGCAAAAAGACAGATTTTGGTGGGATCAGGCTCATTGTTTTCTGACCAGTCAGGAGTTAGTCACACTAGTATAGTTGATGGGAAGTTGAGTTGAACAGAAGGAATGTTTAGGAGAGAAGAGGGAAGATCTGATAATTGAATGACTGTATGATTTGGTTGGTAGTGACTGCTGTCTGTGTATTCTTCCTGGGTGCTGATCATGGAAATGGTGCACATGAGCAGATAATGGGTTTTGGTAGGGGAAGATTGCCTGTTTGTTTGGATGTTTGAATCAGAGATGTCTTAGGAATATCCAAGAGTAGACTTGTAACTTCTCTAATTAAGTCTTTGAAAAATGTGCCATTGGGTTTTTTTTATAATTTATTTAACCTTTATTTTATGTGCATTGGGGTGAATGTATCAGATCCACTGGAACTAGAGTTATAGACATTTGTGAGCTGTCATGTGGGTGCTGGGAATTGAACCCAGATCCTCTGGAAAACAGTCGGTGCTGTGAACCACTGAGCCATCTCTCCAACCCTGTCCATTTTTTTTTAAACAATACTACTCATTACATAACTTAACCAATGAAAAAAAGTATGAAATTTAAAATACCATTTTCAAATCCCACCACCCAGAAATGGTTGTCATCAACTTCAGGTAAACTTCAGGTGATTTTCTATGTGAATATATAGATGCATAGGAATAAGTTTATTCAAATGTGATCATATTATATTGCTGTTTTGAATCAGAAGCATTACATTTAATTTTACTTTAACAGAAAGAAAATACTGATAAGAGGAGGTTGCTGAACTTTAAATAAAAAATATTTTGTAACTCAACATATATGTCATCATTCATTTTCAGATCAAACTAAAAACCTTTATCCTAACTTACATTGAAAATTTCTAACAAAAGTGTAACTGAAAGTTTTTGTTTTAGCTTGGTAATTCAATGTAGAACTAAGGATTTGAGGCTTCTAAAAGAATTATTTACATTTATTGCAATTATTCCTCTGTGTATTATGAACATATTATAATCTCTATACATATTTTCAATCAAAACATAATTCATTAAGAATAGCCAGACAGGCAGGAATATATCTTTTCAGTACTGCCCAAATGCAATTGTCTGTTTTTTAGTTTAAGTTTAGAAGAATGGGGGGGGGGGCTGGGAGGATAGCTTAACCAGAGACTACATACCAAGCAAGTATGAGGGCCTGAAGTTAGTCCTTAGAGCCCATGGAAAAAGCTGGGTGTGTGGTATATGCATAACTCCCAGCACTGGGGAGGCAGAGACAGGTGAATCCTGGGGGATTGCTAGCTAGCCAGTCTTGGCTACTTAGTGAGCTTCAGGCCGATGAGAGAGCCTGTCTCAAAAAACAAGTTGGATAGCACCCGAGAAATCACATCCAAAGTAGACCTCTCACCTCCATATGCACATAAGCCTACATGCATGTATACATACAAGAATAAAAGTCAGTATATAAGAATATAACAGAAGAGCTGGAGAGATAATTCAGTAGTTAACAGCTTTGGCTCATTTTTTTAGAGAATTAATACAAATATTTATGTAAGACTTTAAGTCTTTTTTTGCAGATCTTTTTTTATTTGAATTAGAAACAAGATTGTTTTACATGACAATCCCAGTTCCCTCTCAACAGCTTTGGCTTCTATTTCAGAAGATGGATTTGATTCCCCACACCCTCATGGCTGCTCACTTCTGTCTGTAACTCCAGTCCCAGGCCCTCTTCTGACCTCCATGGGTACTGCATGTGTATGTTACACATAATACCCATGCAGCCAAAACACCCATACAAGCAAAATAAAGTAAAAAGAACAGAATTGTCAGATTTCAAGATAGTGAGAAGGGAACATGAAGGAGATATTTAGCCAACATCTGCTATATGTCAGGTTCCCTTGTTACACTAATTGTGACCCTTTGTGTCTAGAGGACCATGTAAGATGGGCTATTTTCATCTATGCCTACAGTATGAAAGCATATTCATGGTTGGAAAAATGAAATAAAAACAAAATAACAGTACCAGCACCAGTAAAGTAGGTCCTAAAGTGTGAACGGTGAGTTAATATGGACCTGTTATCTGGAATAGTGTTGAAGTCCCTGCCTCACTGCTATTTTGCTTGTTGGTGTTGTGCTACTTGCCAATTTTAGTTTCTGTTTCCTTATCTGAAAATGCCTATACTGCAAGGCAGGGTAGTTAGAACCATGAGTTGAAGCAAAGAATGTTACCATTGCATAACTCACAGAAAGGTGCTCCACTCATTGTGATAGTAGATGTAGTGAGTCTAAAAGAATAGGAATATAAACTGATAAAAGAATATGCCAAATAAACTGATCTTTTGTTCTTATGTTTGTTTTGTTTTTGTTAGAGTACTCCATCTACTATGGGCTACCCATCAACATGGATTTCTTCTCTCTCCCAAATTCGTGGAGCTGTTCCAACATCCTTGCCACAAGGACTCCCACTCCCTTCATTTCCCGGGCCATTATCATCATATGGAATGCCTCATGTTTGTCAGTATAATGCTGTAGGGCCCACAGGTTATCCAGTACAGTGGGTAGGAATTCCGGGAACAACACAGCAGTCTGTAGTAGTTCCCACTCAATCTGGGGGACTCTTCCAGCCCGGGATGAATTTGCAGGCATTTCCAGCTCCACCGATGCAGAATCCGTCATCAATCCCTCCTGGTCCTAAATGAATCCAAATAAATGCTGAAGTAAGAGGAGAGGATTTTCAGAACACCTACAATACTAAACTTCTTGAGTTCTGCCATATTCTCTCGCATTTGCGTCTCCTTTCAACTGTGTCTTTTGTTGTTCTGATGTGATATTTGATACAGCTCGTCATTCTGTAGTAATGTGCAGTTTGCACATAGAATACTGCACACTGAAATGTTTTTTCACTTCAAATCCTATCCTCTTTGATACTTGATTTTTAAAAAATACTGTCCAGAATGCTTTAATAAGCTCAGCTTGAGTGTTACCATTTCCAGGACACTTTCATGTGTTGCTAAGAAGCTCTCACCCCACTTTTTTATGCTGCTACCAGCAGTTGTATGATACTTTTCTTTAAAGTGTGTAAAAACTATGTAGATTGGTTCTCCCCAAATGTGGAAGACCCTCCACTAGCCAGTTTTGTGGGATTTGTCACAAGTGTCTTCAGTTTACTTTTCACAGAAGGCAGTAACTGGCTGCAAGAAATGTTTTCATGTATAAATTTAGTATAGTTTTGTCAAGCAGTACAGAACAGGAGCGTTTTTAATGTGATTTTCTTCCCGTCATCACAGCAGTAGGAGTGAGGGCTTGTTTAAGTGAGGCGGAGGGAAAGGACAAAACAGAACTGTAACAGTTCCTTGAACCTACAGCTACTAGAGCTGCTTTTGGGTTCCAGTAATAACCCTCAGCAGCCATCTTTTCTCATGTGCACACTGCATTGGTTTTGAGCATCTGAGAGGCACTGGCTTGGCTTGCGTTCTTTTGCTAGGTATTGCAGCTAATGTGAATCTCATTTGGGGGAATCCTTGTAATCATAAACAAGGAGATTCAGGTTAACACTTCTGTTAATCCATTCTTCTAAAGTGAAGTGTACTTGACACATTAGGGTTTGTAGCTTTTGAGACTTTTACATAAAACACTGGCTTTACAGGGTTCTAAGAAATGTAGGATACACTGTCCTGCAGTGAAATAGTACACCCTAGGATGATATTATTTAAATTGCCTTTAACCTTTTTTGATGACAGTGTTTTGGTTGTTTTAATTTCTTACTAGTATCTGTAGTCTTAGACCATTTTAGATCGTAGATGCGTTTGTCAGCCTCTTGAAAATTTGAGAGAATTCACTGTCAAGTTGCACTTTACTGGGTTTTATCCAGTTTTAGGAGGAAGGGAGGCAGTGTCAAAACGTATGCCTTTGGTTTTTAAGAATGTTAACTTCAGTAATCTTAAAGGCTAGTCACAGGGTTACCTAATATTCAGTCTGTGAAACTCAAATAGAATTTTTACATGGTATACATCAACTCCTAAGTACACATGTTCAAATGACTTAGCATTCACTGAAGCTTTGAAAGTCATTTCTAATACATGTTTTCCTATTTAGGAATTCTCTTGGTAACCATTCCAAATTATGCTCAATGTTTCTGTTAACAGATTTCCCTCCATATTCCTCTAAAAACTTACCCCATGGGCTTGCTGGGAAGTTAGAAAAACTTTGCTTTTTTATTTCGTACAGTATACTTTGTGACAGTCAGTACCCTTTTTAAAAGTTGTCTTATATTACTTACCTAAAGATCATACCCACCATCACATTTTTTTTCTGCAGATTTTTTTATTTGAATTAGGAACAAGACTGTTTTACATGACAATCCCAGTTCCCTCTCCCTCCCCTCCTTCCCTATAACCCCCTCCCCACCATCACATTTTTGTCACTGTTACTGGGGCATTCTGTGAATTGCTATTGGAAAAAGCCACAGTTTCTTTTCCTAAGACATCCTGTTTTGGATGAGTCCAGATCATATGCACGGATTCCTGAAATTCCTTCTATAGTATTGCTTTGCAAGTTGAAGTGAGTTTTAGGCTATTAATGTAGTGCAGTTGCTTGCATTGCAGTGTTTTCCACATGTATAAAAACAATGCTCCTAAAGCCCATAGTTCCTTAAAACTGTGCTTCTTTATCAGTTGGTTTTATATAATTATATTAAGATAAACAACCCAGAAGGTGAAATCCTACAAGTTTTAAGACTGGATCTTCTCTAGTTGCAATCATTTTAAACGGTGTACCCCAGGATGAAAAAAGCTCCATGGATGACATGTACAATCCCATTTACTAGTGGCTGCTCTACGTAGTATGTTCTGTGTTTTGTTAAACATCTCAGTTTTACACATAATTCATAGTTCTTGTTTGCCTGCAGATGTTTGCAGTGCCTTGTAATATTTAGAATCTTTTCAGGTTTTGCTGGAAAGAAAAGTCATCTTCTAAAGTTTGAAGATGGGGAATAGTGTACTGCTGTCTCCATGCTGACTGCAGTATCTGGGTTAACATATATGTTACATATACATTGTGTATGTGTAATGTGTAGAAGTTAAAGCATACAGAAAAAAGGGAGTGTGCAGAAATGAAGAAAACAATGTTATTCACTTTGCTGTGGGGTTTTCTTTACTTTTTCGCATTACTTTTTGATTTGATTCAGATTATAGTCACTTTGATTGTAAATATTGGTTAGTTTTCTTGAAGAGGATTTTGCATTATTTCATAATTTTGCTAAGTCGTAGAATAGTGCTGTTTCCATCCTTGCCTGAAGTACTTTTTCTCTCCCATAAACAATGAATCAGATAATGCTCAGAAGTTCCCTTTTTTTTTAAACAAAAAGTCTAGTGCATTTAATGGGCCTTCTGTTCATTTCTAGAAAGCATGCGAACCTATCTTTTTCATTTTCTTGTAATCAACATAAAGGTTGCGCTTAACCACTGTGTGTGAAGTTTCCTTGGGAGATAGTCTGTAATGTCTAGCCTCTCTGTTTACTTCTCCAAATGCACATCTGATGAGCAGTGTTGTGTCTTCATGTATGGCAACATGAGCACTTCACCATGAGGCACTGCTGTTGTGTCTGTGAAGTTGGGTATAACATCATAAGACTGTGAAACCAATACTGGTGTATTCAGTGCAGATAACCCTTTATAAAACTGGAGCAGGCTTGAATCTAAAGTAATTTGCTATAGTTTGACAAATATTCCTGCAGTCTTTCATCTCTTCCTTGCTTAATATCAAGCATACGTTCTAATAGTTTGACAGGAAATCTAACTGTGAAAATTTAAAAGGCACTTCCGCTGTGATTTTTGGGTTGAGTGTAGAGTGTTTTCTAAGGTAATAATGGGATGTTATCATCTGAAAACCCCAGATTTAATTGCAGTCCAGTTACTTTTGTTTATCTACCTCGTTTTTCAGTACTGTTTTAGGTGCACACATAATTGTTGCCTGTGAAACTTGCTTTTTTGCCTTGATTCTTTATGTTGTTTAGATTCTAAATCTGGCTTGCCTTTTTTGTCCTTGCACTCACCACACATGTGAGATGAGAGGAATCATCATTCTGCCACCAATCTGTGTTTAAGCAATGAGAATCAATCACCAATGTGTAATGAAGTTAGGGGATTTGGGGATGGAAGCAAAGAGAGAAATCAAATTGGTAACTTACAATACTCAGTGGTAGGAGGTAGTTTTCAGATAAACAAATGGTTCAAATGGACTGAAGGGAGATAGTCCCAGTGCCTGGAATTTCACATGTGATGGCAATGTTTTCTCATCTCAGTTTCTAAAGGGCTATGGGTTGAAATCGCTTTAACTACCACAGTGAAATACTTGACCTCCTAGGCAGTAACCCATCTTCAAAATATTGACTGGTATTTACAGTGACAGTTTGTTATCTTAAAATGACAGAATGCATTTCATTTGAATCATAGTTGGTAGTAAGGATTTAGATAATTGCTTATCTAATCTCTGTAGTTTATGGAATTGACTCTCTTTGCTGTATTTTCTAAACATTGAAAATAATATGTTCCCCTTTCCCCTTTAAAACAAAACCCAGCAAATGTTTGTAACTGGATATTCCTTGTTTCACATGTTTACCACATAACACTACATTTTTAATATTAGTAAATACTATATTTCAGCCATCATTTATAAATACATTCCTGAGGTATATTTGCCATCGATTGTGATTCTCTTACCTCATGTTGTGTTTAATTAAGAAAATCTGAGCCTTCTGAGGTGGTATGCAAGCCATTTTCTAGAATAGATTGGTTGCTTTTTTGATCTGTAGTTTATCAGGGACTTATTTTCCCTCCCTTTATTTAGAAGATGTAATAGAAAGGTCTGTATATATAGAAAATACTTTTGATTTGGTAAATATAATTCTAGGGTTAAAATTTAAAAATCTAATCCAGAGTATAAAATGAGAACACTCTAACATAATAAAAATTTCTTGTAAGAAAAATTAGTATGCAATTTGTGTGGAGCCATACTCTCAGACCACCCTGGAAATCATCTCCTTTTTGTGTGTCTGAACAGTGAATTCAAACACTGATCAGGGACCTTGACAACTAACATGTGAATGGGCCCAAAGTCATAAGCATGTTAAATTTCTTTTCTACTGAGATGGTTGAAAGAGTGTACAGGTTACCAGCTCGTATTCCGGAAGGTTTTCTTTGAAGTAAAACAACGCAGACGAAGCGAAAAGTCAGGCAAGAGGGCAAGGGAAGGACTAAGCTCTGAAGGGACAATGCTCTAAAACACTTGTCACCCTTCTAGCTTTTCTACATTGTATTTCTTTCCACTATAATTTCAGATTTAAGGTTGAGATTTGTAGTCCAGAACCCTCAGCAGATATAGTGGATATAGTGACTGATCAGAAAGTGCAGTTGAAGGTCTGTCATGCTCAATCACTTAAAGCTATTAATTGTTTAATACGAATACTAAGCATGTAGACCTTAATGCAGCATGGGAGCCACTCAGGAAGTTTATGCAATTAAACTTTCATGCATAATTTACCATGAGATATGTAGAATTTCAGCCAATTCTCAATGCTTAACATTTAGTTATATATGTGAACTCTCCTTTTTTAATTCGGGAATGTAGCATTATATAGAATGCTGTTAAATTTAACTTTAACATTAACTTTTATTTTACTTTTTTTTTTGGTAAGCCAAGTGATCTACCTTTTAGCAGTTGTCTGGTTTTGATTCTTCGAAACTGTGATTTTTATTTTAATTACTACCCAACTGTTAAGTATTTTGTTTCCTGGAATTTTGTTTTGAAACAAAAATAAAGGCTGAGTTAAATGACTGTGTCGCCTTATTAAAATTCTGTCAATTACCAAAGTTGTCTGGCTTAAAATGGTTCTTTATCAAATATAATTTAGCAGATATATGAAAGTTAGTCTTACAAATTGTGTGGGCTTTGGGATAGGGGGAGCCTGCCTCAGCCATGTGTTACCTGTTGTTTTACATGCAATTCTAATGCTTTTCCAGTGGGTGACCCTTCACATTTGCAAATGAGCAAGAGTTGTAACATTTTGTGTTAGCTAGGGTTTCAATTGTGACTTTTTAATTCACACAACAGCCCTAATATAGGTATCTACTTTTTATGGCAAATTTGAGGGGGAGAGACAGAGGGGTTTTTTTGTTTGTTTGTTTTTCGAGACAGAGTTTCTCTGTATAGCTTTGGAGCCCGTCCTGGCACTCGCTCTGGGGAAGGGGGAAGGGAAATGGCTGGGTCATTGAAGAAGGGGCAAGTGTGTGTGATGGCCTTGTTCTGAAAAACCAAGTATGTACACCCATGAAAAAAAACAATCTTATCAACTGGGCAGTCCAACCTGGGCTATAGTAAAACTTTCCTCTGAGGGATAGGCATGGTGGCACACACCCCTTTAATCTTGGCACTTGGAAGGAAGATCTCTGATTTCCAGGCCAGACAGCAAAAAAAAAAAAAAAAAAAAAAAATCCTTTGAGGAATGCAAGCCATGTCTAAACCATCAAATTCTACTCTTGAACTGCAAGATCCATGCCCTTGACACAATGCAAAATGTATTAAGTATGTTCCAGGGGCCCAACTAGAAAATCTCAAATTTAATTTGAGGTTCAAGAGTCTTAATGTGATATTGAACCAGGTCTGGTAGATAATTCTAGTAATTCCAGCACTTGTGAGGCTGGGGCAGAAAAATCACAAGTTTGCAGCCAGCATAAGTTACATAGTCTTCAGGCCAACCTGAGCTACAGAAAAAGACCTTGTCTTAGTATTCTACTGCTGTGAAGAGACACTGTGACCACGGCAACTCTTATAAAGGAAAACATTTAATTGGGGCTTGCTTATACTTTCAGAGGTTTAGTTCTTTGTTGCCATGGTAGGGAGCATAGTGACACACAGAGAGACATGGTGAAGTTATAGTTCTACATCCAGATCTGTAGGCAGCAAGAAGAGTGAGCAAGACACTGGCTTGGGCTTTTGAAACCCCAAAGTCCACTCCCAGTGACACACTTCTCCACAAGGCCACACCTCCTAATCCCTATCAAGTAGTGCCTCCCCATAATGACCAAGCATGCAAATATATCAGCCTTTGGGGGCCATTCTTATTCATACCATCACAGACCCTCTCTCACAAAAGACCTGGGTTCACTAGCTCACATCTGTAATTCTGCAAATCTGTAATTGAGAGGAAGAGGCAGTAGGATCAGGAGTTCTAGGTTATCCTTAGCTATGTAGTAGATTCAAGCCTAGGATACATAAGACTCCTTGTCTCTACAAATAAATTAAAAATAAAGCAAAAACTGAATGAGCAATTTGTCAGACAAGTCAATTGGTGGAGCCAGATATGGTGGCTCACACCTGTAATACCAGCACTTGGGAGACTGAAACAGAAGGATCATGAGTTTTTAGCCAGCCAGGACAACAGCAAAACCATGGTGGCTGGAACAATGACTCAGCATTTAAAAGGTGTTCTTGTGGAACCCAGGTTCAAATCTTAGCACCCACATGGCAACTCACAACCAACTGCTGATTGTGTCCTCCATGGGTACTAGGCATGCAAGTGTTGCACAGACATACATGCAGGCAAAGCACTCTTACACAAAAGTATTTTTTAAAATTTAAAAATACTTAATTAGACCACAGTTATCTAATTTAATCAAAATAACAGTAAAATATTTTAGGGTTGCGCATATACTTCAGTTGGTAGAGTGCTTGCCTAGAATGCATGAAGCCCTGAATTCCATCCTTAGCACTGCACAAACTGATTGTAATAGTGCACACCTATAATCCCAGTACTTGGGAGGTAGAGACAGGAGTATCAGGAGTTCTAAATCATCCTTAGCTGTGTAGTGAGTTTGAAGTCAGCTGGGGATACATGAGACCCTAGCTCAAATTTTATTTTATTTTATTTTCTATTCTCTTCCTTTTGAATCTTCAACAATAAGATATTGTAAAGGCAAATAAATACAAACATATAGTTGTGAACAAAAATGTAGCTCTTTTAATTTTAATATTTAATCTTTAGAGAAGATTCACTTTTTGAGCAACCAGACCTGATAACATCAAATATAAGAAATTACCTTGATAAAATGTAAAATCTTCATTTCTTAGGCCCATCACTTAACCTTTCACATTCCCAAACCTAATAAACTGAATACAGCCCTCACCTGAAAAGGAATAAGGGATACTTCATTCTGAGCCAAATATACCTGGGAACAAGGATTCAGGTTGCCCTCCAATGAAATGTTCCACTATGAAATCAAATCAATGCATTTTTCAAATATAATGGTGGGGGGACCACAGTGATGTACTTCCAGCAAAGCCTGAGGACTGGTTTTTAGATGCTATCTGATGACTTTTTAAATTGTGATTTTTGAGGAAGGATTTCAGTATACAGTCCGTTCTGTCCTGAAATCCACCTCAAATCTATGGCATCATCTCTCTTCAGTCTCCACAGTTCTGGGACTATAGGCATGCAACCAGTATGCCCAACTCTCTGTTGGCATTTCTCCTTTGGGGATTAGTGAGAGTTAGTAGTCTGCTAAGAAATCCGTATAAAAGTTCCTGATAGTAAAAGAGATGTTTGATTAGACAGTGGTGAGCAATGAATGGCCATTATGGGGACTAAAGATAGCCGGGGTAATTTGGCTCTGGGTCTGCAACATTCCAATTCTCTACAGTCTCAAAGTTCTAATCAATAAGCCTTGTGAATTTTTAGCACTAGTGCCACCCTTAGGGTAGAACTTTAGTTTACAGTTCTAGATAAGCTTTATTATTTTAAGAAATAACTAAGCTGGGGCTGGGGAAAGGGCTCCGTGGGTAAAAGCACCTGCCGTGAACGCCTGAGGATCTGAGTTCAGATCTCCAGAACCTACATTACTAAGTAGGGCATAAGTCAATGAGTATCCCAGCGCTCTCTACTGGAAGACAAGAGGCTGAAACAATGGAAGCTTCCTACCAGGTTCAAGGGAGTATGCAACAGCAAATAGACCTTGCTTCAATTAAGGAGAAAAGGTAAGACTGACAACTGAATATTATCCTCTGACGTGTATGTATCCACACCCCCAAAAGAAGAACTTATACATACATGTACTCACACATCACATATTACACAGACAAAAATAAATGACTCTCCTTTTGTATCATGTACCATTAATACTAAAACTGATCTTTTTATAATGCCGATTTTAACAAAAGGTTATAAAACTAAATTTAATCTCAGCCATTTTGGGGCACACAAGATATTTCTACAACCCGTTTTAAAGCAGCTGTGGTTTTTCCTTTTCTTTTTGCCTGTTAATGAAATGCATCTTTATACTTTTTGTTTTTGTTTTCAAGACAGGGGTTTTCTACATAGCCCTGGCTGTCCTGGAACTCGCTCTGAAGACCAGGCTGTCCTCATAGAGATCTGTCAGTGTCTGCCCCTCAAGTGCTGGGATTAAAGGTCTGTGCCATCACTGCCTGGCTATATGCCTTCCTTTATAAAACAGCCTACTTCCCTTGCACAGAGTTCCATCTCATAATTTCCAGCAGTTTAGTTATACATGTTAATTATAACTTTTGACATTGCATACCTTAATTCCTAGTGAAAACTAGAAAATATTGGGAATTGTCTTCTATCTGTATTTTTCAATTTCATAACTTCTAGAGATGAGTTTTCCTATTTATGCACATGCCTACATGTTTAGTTTCATTGTGTTGTATAAAGAACAACATGCCATACAAATAACATGATATGGACTCAAGAGGCTATATTTAGGAATATATATGTACATACAAGTACATATCTTCATGCAATGACAATTAGTGAAAAAAAGAGGCCATGAATTCGAAGGAGAGCAGGGATGGGTATATGGGAGGACTGGAAGTGAGGAAAGGGAAGGGAGAAGTGTTGTAATTAAGTTATAATCTCAACAATGAAATAAAATGAAAAAGAACAACATCCCAAAGCATGTAACTTTAAATTCAAGATTACTAAGCATTTCAGCATTCTAGTTCACCCACATGTTACCACTTAATTTCTCTTTAAAATACTCAAATTATCAAAAGAGTTTTAAACTGAGTACAAGTGGATATATGCTATAAAGCACAAATATTATTGAAAAGTTCATCTAGAAATATCCCATTTCTATCTCATTCAGTTTTTACTTTCTTTTTTAGACAAGGTCTTATGTAGCCCAGACTGGCTACATTTAGCTGAAGATGACCTTGAATGTGTGATACCCCTGCTTCTAGCACCAGAGAGTAGAGATTACAGGCACCACCACCCCCAGTTGATGAGCTACTGGATTTGGAACTGAGAGCTTCGTGCATGCTAAGCAAACACTTTACCAAGTGAGCTACAAACACAGCCCCTCAATGTTCTTAATTATACTTGAATTGCTTGTGAACATTTTGTGAGACATTAACAAAGCTACCCATAGGGTTTACTTGCTTCTTTAGTTTGGTTTGGTTGTTGCCAGCAAGTCAGACAAGTACCAAAAACATCACAGAAACAAAGAAACTGATTTATTTTCCAGTAATACTTTGTTTACAAAAGAACTGCTTTTGACTATGGGACCTAGTTTGCTGAAACTAAAATGTTAAACTTATTTTTTTCTTGTCTCTCCTTTTTCTGATAGTATTCCCCCTGAAGTTTGTGTTTCAAAAGATAAGTATCGTGTTTCTGTAGAAGACCATGTAGGAAATGTATGTCTCAACAGCTCATAGAAAAAAACGCAAGATTTTTCCAAGAAAAAATTTAAGGTGCATCACATTGGAGGATTTGCTCCAGTATTTTACAAAGAAGTACGTAGATGGCAATAGGATAAGGTTAAGAA